GTCTTATAAGACGTCTTGCAAAAGCCATCCCAGACAACACACCAAATCCCAAAGATATCCACAGAATATCTTTTGTGGATATCCAATATATACACAGGATATCAGAAATATTCCGTGGATCTAATATGGATATCCAAATGTCCGTCTATATCCAGAATATAGAAGATATCCTATGGATATTCAGCAAAATATCTAATTAGTATCTTCCAGACAATACAAGAAATCCAAGAGATATCCACAGAATATATTTTGTGGATATCCAAATATGGATATCCAACCAAATGTCCGTTTATATCCCAGGATATAGAATTCAGATGTTCAGCAAAATATTTTATAGGTATCTTTAGTAGACATTCATAAGTAACCAAATGATTATTGAATAAAGTCGAAAGAAAATAGAGATAAAAAATATTTCCAACAATCTGCAATCTACCTTTGAGTTTGCCCACTAAGCAAAAAGTCATCCATATTAGTACTCTTCAGCAATAAATTAAATTCTCGACTCCAGTCTCTAATAGAGTCTTAATGCGAAAAAAATTTCGATCAACTCAATTATGGCGGTTTGAGCATGAGTAGATACGAAAGTGGTATCGCCATCTATACTTAGGAAGCAAAATCAAAAATTACATCTAGTAGATATCCACGATGGTTTGCGCCCGCGCTAAGACTTTGATATATGTGGATGTCCATGGGATATTGAATACACCTTAAAAAAATTAATTTTAAATATCTGAACGGTACTATTAGCCACAATGGCGAGCACAATGGCGTAATTTTTTAATAATTTGCTATATAATTACTATTATTTATGGACATTTGCATGTCTATAAATTACATTTTATGGATATAAAATAGATATCCACCATGGACTGGACATTCAGTGGATATTGGGATGTTCAGTAGATATCCAAAGGATTTGGTGTGCTGTCTGGGATAATTCAGATGTATTAATGTGTGAGCTCAAAGACGTTCTTAAGAAGTCTTAAAGACGTCTTGCCAAATCCATATATCAATGTGAAAGCTCAAAGACGTCTTTAAGATGTCTTTGAGGCGTCTTTAAGAGGTTTTACAAACGTCTTTCAGTCGGACGGATACTTGCACGATTTACATAATTCAAATTTAACGTGAAGAATCAAATGAAGTGAAGTTTGACGTTCGACTTAACATTACATTACATTCAAGCCGGACTTCCGATTCGGACACCGTCGTCGTGGCAACATTGAAATGGCGGTCTCTGAATCGGGAGCCTGGAATAGGTACTTTCTACAAGTAATAAATGAATATTTGTTTATATACATAGAACATTAATATCCTGTTTCTTCTAAGTAAGAATAATTAAATTAATTCAAAAGTAAATATCTTAATATAAGATTTAATTCAGATATTCGTAAATTATCTTTTTTTTTGTTTTTATGGAGATTTTGAGAACCATTAATATGAAAAACCCCCTATTAGATAGCCATTTTGAGTGAAGTTAAAGTAAAATTGTCAAAGTAGCTCATATTGCATTAAACGACTATAAAAATTTTTTGATTTAAAATTCTAAGAAATTAATTTTTTGTTTTGTTTTATAGATAATATAATTGTTCTTTCGGTTTTTACTAACTTTTGCAAAGTATAACTTTCTGTGACTACATGCTCTTAACGAAATTTCTTTTTAGGAGCTATACAAAGGCAACTACAAATCAAAGAGAAAGAGAAAAATAAATCCAGTTATGGCTAAAGAGGAGTGATCGAATGCGCTACAAAGAAAATAACTCCTAGTGATATTTTATCAATAAATATTTTTAATTCTATTTTTTGCATTCTTTATAACCTGCAAGGTTGTTCTACTAATTTTAATAACCAAGATATTCGACGTCCTCCGTCCATAAGACATCTTAAACGTCTTATTTATGGCTTATTTATGGCTTCACAAGACGATTATAAGCCATTAATAAGACGTCTTATTTAAGGCTTCACAAGACCATTATAAGCTATTAATAAGTCGTCTTAAAGACGTCCCCTTTTGTAATATCAGACGTCTTAAAGGCGTCTTTCAGGAAATAACAGACGTCTTAAAGACGTCTCATATGTTTTATGCTAAACGTCTTTAAGACGACTTTGCGCTATCTGGGTAGAAAAAAGCAATTTAATTTCGACTAAATTTGGTGCAGATCATTTAATTAAGAAACTTCATTAAACTTATGATCACTTCTGATTTTAAAATATCCATAATTAGAAGACTACTTTCATATAAATTAACACATTTTTCTTCCGAAGTGGTAAAAAGTTAGGTATTTAACCAACCAGACAGTCGAGATAGAACATTTTTGTAAAATAATGAATTATAGTGATAACGATGATAGTGATGATTATAATCGTAATGATGAATGAAAATGATTTCAATATTTTATGTTGAATAAAATTATAAATATATATTATTTTATTCAACGTGCCCCAATCTCCCTCATACCTAAAACCAATAAAAACTATATTACTGTCATAGGTACTATCTTCAAATTGCATTCTGTACCCGTTTTAAAGAAAAAAAAATCAATGGCAAAGATTTTTACATTTTGGAAAACAATTTTGAAATTTTAGCCACTTGCGGCGTCCAGTGAAGTATTCAAATGGCATAGTTGTGACCATTCAGAGGAAGGCCATTTCTGGATTATATTCGGACATTAAAGATCCACGCAATGAATATTAAAAAAGAGCAATGAACGTATAAACGTTTATCTTCACACACGCACATGCACACATACACGAACGCATGCATCTACGCACGCTCGCAAGAAAGCAAGCTCACACTCTAAAGCACGCACGCACGCACGCACGCACGCACGCACGCACGCACGCACGCACGCACGCACGCACGCACGCACGCACGCACGCACGCACGCACGCACGCACGCACGCACGCACGCACGCACGCACGCACGCACGCACGCACGCACGCACGCACGCACGCACGCACGCACGCACGCACGCACGCACGCACGCACGCACGCACGCACGCACGCACGCACGCACGCACGCACGCACGCACGCACGCACGCACGCACGCACGCACGCACGCACGCACGCACGCACGCACGCACGCACGCACGCACGCACGCACGCACGCACGCACGCACGCACGCACGCACGCACGCACGCACGCACGCACGCACGCACGCACGCACCCACCCACCCACACACACACACACACACACACACACACACACACACACACACACACACACACACACACACACACACACACACACACACACACACACACACACACACACACACACACACACACACACACACACACACACACACACACACACACACACACACACACACACACACACACACACACACACACACACACACACACACACACACACACACACACACACACACACACACACACACACACACACACACACACACACACACACACACACACACACACACACACACACACACACACACACACACACACACACACACACACACACACACACACACACACACACACACACACACACACACACACACACACACACACACACACACACACACACACACACACACACACACACACACACACACACACACACACACACACACACACACACACACACACACACACACACACACACACACACACACACACACACACACACACACACACACACACACACACACACACACACACACACACACACACACACACACACACACACACACACACACACACACACACACACACACACACACACACACACACACACACACACACACACACACACACACACACACACACACACACACACACACACACACACACACACACACACACACACACACACACACACACACACACACACACACACACACACACACACACACACACACACACACACACACACACACACACACACACACACACACACACACACACACACACACACACACACACACACACACACACACACACACACACACACACACACACACACACACACACACACACACACACACACACACACACACACACACACACACACACACACACACACACACACACACACACACACACACACACACACACACACACACACACACACACACACACACACACACACACACACTATTTTAGATTATTAATAATTCATGTACTAGTTACTCAACCCATCATTCACCTTTATTATTTTTTATTAATTTAAAAACGCTTAAACCTGACCGTGAATTAAACTCACGATACGTCGATTAACGTTCGGCGCCTTCAGCCTCTCTACGCGCTCGACCACGGAGACATTTAACAATTTGTTACTAGATATTATTCTAATAGTTAATAGGATTTCAAACTTCCGCTGGTGGAATAAAATGCAATAGATTCAATTTTTCATTTTCTAATGACCAATTGTATTTTGGATAGAAAAGAAAGTATATATAGGCATTATCTGGCAAGCTAAATAAATAATGACCTAAAATGGACGTCCACTGGACATCAAAATACTACTATACAAAACTTTAAATGATGTCCAAAAACGAAATGCCACTGGGTATAGATATGCAGTTGTCAAATAATACTCATAAATGGACTACCGCTATGGACGTTCTGACTCAGTGTCGGATTGGGCCGTCGGTATACCGATCAAAATACCGGTAGACCCTCGTTCAAGAAGTGGGCCCTCGGTCAGACAGCGGGCTCTTGAAGAAGAACTTCCCAGTAATACGCGAGCGGACCTTTTTTTCTATTAAAAAAAAAAAGAAAACACGAAAAAGGTAAAAAGGTAGGCCCTTCTCCCTCCTGACCGGAAGGTCCCAATCCGACACTGTCTGGCCCTCTAATGGATCTAAAATGAACTTCCATTGGACTATGTGTGGCTATCTGCAGGTAGGTTAAAGATATATATGATGAAATACCCAATATAAAAGGAAAGAAAGATAAGATCTTTATGATAATGATGAAAGATGACCTACAATTGCTCACTGAAGAGGGGCGAATAATTTAAACGTACCTTATTTATCCATTCGATGTCGGCGCTTTCATTAAAAGCTTCGTCAGGTCCATAATCAGCTAAAATTGGTTCTCCTTTAAGACTCTGCTTCCGCCCTAACATCATTTTGATTTTTTCCGGTATAAGTTTTGGTGTAATTTTGCCTAGTATTTTTTTAAACGTTCAATATGAAAATTTGATACGATCTTTTACTATTATACTTACACTATTTTATCTGTTTTCGACCAAACGCGATTGATGGGTAGTAATATTTTCGTTTTATCATTTTTTTTAATAATTTTGGAAGGTAGGTTTTGTAGACTTTTTGCAATTCGAGACGAGAAGCTGCGCGCGTGGACCTAAAGCTATAAAATCAATATTCCGCAGATTTTCTAATTTGAAATATAGTTTCAGTGATATGGATATATTTTTTTGAAAGGAAATAAAATTAAAAATTATATTAGAAAGATACCTAAAATGCATTCAAAATCGCTTTAAGAAATTATAAACGTAACTTTGTTTAAACATTTTTTAACACTTTTGTGTTGGCATCACTATCTTGATTTTATAATTTTATCACAGAATTTACTGGGATTTTATGTTTGGTAGTTTGCACGCCTGAAAATAGAATAAAACAAAGACCTTTCACATCTAGAACAGATATTCAAATAATTGTATGATGCGTACTTTCATCATAAACATTGGACAAAACTGCAATTAATTTATTTATTTATTTATTTATAATTTATTAATAGTGAATGATATTTGCAGAAAAATTACTCTAAAATCTTGCCAGTAGCCGTTAATTTCAGTTTAGACTCAGTCCCTTTGTTTCTTCTAACGAGTTTTGTTTATAAAAAGTAAAAATTGTTTTCCTACAACAGTTGCAGCTAAACTACGGCTCGCTCTACCAAAATTTCAAAATATTTCGGGATTTAAATAAAGTGTGATCCGAATTCATCTCGGAGGGTGTAACCTAATCCAAAATGTTTAAAATAAACCATTTACACAATAATATTTCTCTTTATAATTCAAATAAAAAGTAATTCATTTGAAATTTAATGGAAGTCATTACGATTTCTCCATGCCGTTTTGTAGCTTACCGATTTTATAAACACAAAAGTATATAGTTTAAAAATAAAAATATAAACACCACAAAATATTAGATTTTTTAAAAAACTAATATACGAACCGCAGCAGAATATTTTCTGTCAGCTCAATTTTTCATTCCGTGACGTCACACCCTTCCTTAGCAACGGGGGAAGAGGCCACCGTGTTGTCTACGAACAGTGAGTTGCGGCCATGTTGCGGCTATGTAAAAAAATGGGGATGGGGATGTGGTTGTCCACTGAATGGTCAAAAGTCTGCCATTTGTACACTTCAGTGGACGTCCATTGGAAGTCGAAAGTCCAGAAAAAACTCATTTTTGGATATCCAGACATCCAAAATTGTATATCGAATGGACGTCCATTGGACCTTTTTATGCTGTCTCGGCCTGTTTGTCTACCAATTTTATTTAAATAAATTGATACTGGAGTAGCACACTCCTAAAATTGTACCGAAAAGCACCGTTTGAACCACTGAACTTATAACAGTGGTCAGAACCGAACCGGAATATTTTTAAATGAACCGAAAGTGAACCGGACCCAAAATTTATAGTTTTACACGGTTTTACTAAACCGGAACCGTTTAATTTAATTCGGTCCGGGTCCCTGTTCACCGCTATGTGCATAGCTATTGCATATTATGCTTTTTACAATACTTATTACGCAAAATACTTACTATTACCGTTTTATTAAACTCAAGTAAGATAAAACATTATAAACAATGCTTCCTTACAACAATTTCATAAACAGAGTGACCATCGCTCACAACTTATAACCAAAACATTGCTCGTTTAGATCATGGTCTAGATTAAAGAAGGAATAGCAAATGTCAAAGTTGAAGTTTAATTTGGCATTTGTTAGAATCACCGTTGCCAGATGTACGATAATTATCGGTTTATACGATAATTTTGGTATGTACGATTGATTTTAGAAGTGCAAATAATTAAAATCGCTTATTCTGTGTATGGCCCAAGAAAGAATAAGAAATCCATCAATAATGTCGAGGTCGACAATCAAGATATCGATTTTGAAGGGGAGTGATTAAAGAACATTATAAAAGTTATCCATTTTCAGAAATGTTTTAATTAAGACACGTTATTTAAAAAATATTTTTTTTGCGCCTTGAAAAGTAACTGCAAAGTTAATGTTTTCTGCAAGCTGTCATAATTTGACATTATTGGCGCTCTTAGGGCCGATTCCACCGTTGTGTTAAACGGAGATGGACGGAGATTAAAATAACAATTGTTCATGTAAAAATGTCATTTTAAACTTCGTTTAGGACCGATTCCACCGTTGTTTTAAACGAAGTTTAAAATGACATTTTTACATTATTAACAATGTCATTTTAATCTCCGTTTAACACAACGGTGGAATCGGCCCTTAACACAACGGTGGAATCGGACCTTAAGCGTAAAGTAACTTTGGCGCACGCCGATAATTTTAATTATAGATAAAATAGTGCTAGTAGTGATTTTAACACAGACTGTATAGCCTAAATAAATATTTTAATTGCATGACTTCCTTATATTTTAAATCATCCAATAGTATTTTTTGTAAATGATTAAGGGGCGATTCCGCCATTGTGTTAAACGAAGTTTAAATTGCTAAACTTAGATTAAAATTACATTAGTAATGCAAAAATGTCATTTTAATCTTCGTTTAACACAACGGTGAAATCAGCCCTTAATGATTAAATCATAAATAATTACCGACATATAAGTACTAAAACAATTTTTCTCTTTGAAGAGTAAGCTTGTGTCAAGTAAACTTATAACAATATTATAACGAAAGAAGGTAACCCATTTCTAATAAAATTATTTTATTTTATTTTGGTATGATTATGTGTAATTCGAGCAGAAAGCCAGGAAGTAGCACTTTGGCAGTCGAGACAGAAAGTTTCCGTGCGACGCATTATAGCGGTTTAATTTCTTTTAATTGACGTCTTTAACTTAACCATCTTGTATTAATGTTGAATTTAAATAGTGGTTTTTCATGGTTTTAATTAAAAATGATAAAAAATATAGTGAATAGAAGGTAATTGAATATAGGCAGCACAGATATTATAGGTTTACTTTCGAGAAACCAATTTTTTTAATATTGATTAAATATTAATAAATTTTGTACTAAAATTCTTCTCATCAAATTTTAAACAACTTTTAAAAATATCCGACCGTCGGCCGTCGAATGTCCGCACGATAAATCAAAAACCTCAAATTTTCAGGAAAAATCAAGAATACGACAAAGCCCTATTGATTTTTAAAAAATCTAAATAAAATGACGGGGGTTGGAAGTTGAAAAAAAATCGAAATTCAAAAGCGAATGATATCAACTCATCAACTTGAAAATTTCAGAAAAATCAGCTCTATAAGGGGACAAAGTTTACTGATTAAAAAAATGATAAAAAATGGGAGGTTAACGGGGGTTGTAACTAAAAAAAAATCATAAACAAAAACGAAATCAAGATCTATTAACGAAGCTTATAAATAAATAGGGGGGTTAAGGGGGGTTTAAATTAAAAAAAAAATCATAAAACAAAACGAAAAGCGATATACTTGTGTACCTAAAGTGAAACGTGAAACGAAAGATAACTTGAAATCATCAGGAAACACCGCAAGCTCTATAAAGGGATGAAGCATATTGATTCTGAAAATATCTGTGGTAAGGGGGTCTGTTAAGATTATAATATAGAAATTAGAATACCAAGCATTATATATGTCTTGATTCTAGTATTTATAATGGGTAGGATAAAAAAAACAATTTTGACAGTGTATAACATTTAGATCCGAGTGAGCTGGCAACACTGGTTAGAATTTATTTTATTATGTTTAATTTTTAAATCAAACGGCCCTGTCTCTATAACCTGTAAAACTTTAAAGGAAAGTAATTTTTAACATTCCTATTTCTTACCTACTACCAAAGAAAGGAAATTAACGTGTTTTTATTTGTAATTGTCCTATTATTGTATTGTTTATATTAAAATCTGTGTGTTATTATTTGGTCCATTTTAAATAAGTAACATGGAAAACATTCGAATCATATTTGTGATACCTGGAAAATTCAGCAGTCAAAATGAATGTTCAGAAGTAATGCATTCAGCATATGAGGTATGAATTAAGTTTAAATTAAAAAATACATTACAATATGGAAAAATATTCAAAATCAACACCACATGATCACTTTCAGATTTGCAAACAAAACGTGAACACCAATGTTAATTGGATTTCAGAATCTAAATTTAAGCCCGCCAAATTGAACAAAACTGATTTTGTAGTATTTGAAGAATTCGAAGGAAAGGTCTTCGAAGAGCTGAAATCTACCAAGAGCGCGTAAGTACCATAAATTGTTAAATATTGTTTTTTTTTTTGAGAGTAACTACATTTTTAGTAGGATCGTTGGTCCCTGGGCCGTAACTATCTGCCTCATGAAAGGACAACCAATTCCTAATTTTGATTGGCCTATATACAATGTGGCAATGTATGATTGCATAGTTACTTGCTCACATTTGCCTAAAAATATTAAATTACAAATGAAGACGAAAATAGAACTAATGGGGGGTTGTTATGTAGATAGTCTCTTGGAAAAAAATACACATTTGATTACAGGCAGTGCAAAATCCGAGAAATATTTGGTAAGTTGTTACTCTATATTCAAATACTTATATAGGTAGGTACCTATAAAGGATGTTTCAGTGGAAAACTAATGAACAAAATTGTCTTGATTAATTAATCACAATGACATGTTGGTAAAAAATAATAGATTACCAGTAAATTTTGAAACTGGATAGTCTCATTGTATTTCTTTCTTGTTTGATAAACATTTTTTGGAATAATTATTCTACCACTTCCCATACCCCTAATAAATATAGGGTATAACTGCAGTTTAATTTTACTTATTCCAAAGTAACCTTTTCTGTTCCTGTTGGAAATTTTTTGTAGATTGCTGCAGAAGCTGGGGTAAAACTAATGCGTACATCTTGGGTGGAAAAGGTGTGGGAAGTTAGCCAGAATACTAATGTTCATGCTGATGATGATCAATTCAAAAGTCACTATTGTCTGGCTTTCCATAACCTTGTTATAAGTTCTACAGGCATAACTAATCCAATAGAGAAGATGAAAATTGAGAAAATGATAAAGGCAAATGGTGGTATTTTTACAGGAAAACTTAATTTGACTAATACTGATATTCTTATTTGCTGTGGAGATGTGTAAGTCAACAATAATTACATTATTTTTCTTTTTAATTCTGTATTATTGTAGTATAAAAGGGTTTTCCTCAACAACGAACAACTACTAGACTAATTTTGTAAACAAAAATCAAATTGCAAACATTCACCCTTTCATCCACGTTGTTGTTAAATTATTGTGAAAGGGTATGGGAGAGTATTGTTACAAGTGTTGTTTATCCTTATAATTCAGTATTGACTGAAGTATTGACTAAACACAAGGCTATAAATGGCACAAAAGGCTTTTAAAATTACATTAGAGAAGTATTTGCATTCTTAAAGCCAGTTACTATCATTTTAATGTATTTTTTCTTGTTGCAACTATTATAGTTGTATAGTGATTTCAGCAAAGTATGCAATTAATTTTGAAGTGTAACAGTAGTGTAAAGCAAGCGTGGATATAAATACTGATTTCATGCTTGCTCCTTGGATAAACATACTCTCATAAACCAGTCCCTCTCAAATTAGCAACTTAGTCCTTCTTTCTAATGTGACTCGATGTGACAGCTTTTTGCATAATAATAAACACAATGCAATAAAAAAGGGCTTACTTATGAATAAATAGATTAATCTAGTAGTTTTCCGTCATTGGTTTTCCCCTTAAGGTAGTTCACTCACGACAGTCGTACACAAAAATATCACCTAATGGTGAATACCAAAAGTTCGAGATTCTCATTGCTGAAAAAAGTTATTTTTGTAAGAAACTGTACACAACACATGTAAGCTTATTTATACATACGGATGCATTATTATTTAAAGTAAAATCCATTCGGCAACATCGCAAATATATGAATGGTGGGCTATCAAATGAGTGTGTATGCCTTTAGAAATGTGTGACTTCCTCATACTAATTTTGTAGTGTTCTAGTACAATGTAAAACATGCCTAAAAAAATCTAACAGACATTTGAGTTACCGTGCGTTAAGTGTAGCGATTACAATGTTGCCAAGTTGTAATCATTGTACCCCACTACACATTAAATACTTTAAAAATATTTTTATTTTAAAAATCTATATCTTTTTACCATAATGGTTAAAAAAATCAGCGTTTTTTAGAAAATTGTATAACTTCTTGATTTACATAACATTAGTTTTTAAAAACTATAGAAAGAATCGTTTTTGTGTTAATTATGCTCATTTTGATTGTTAACACTTTCGCTGCCCATGACGTTCATTAACGTCATGATAGTTCTTTCCTCCATGCCCATGACATTTTGTAATGTCATTTTAAAATGTATGCTCTGATGAATGTCACTGCCCTGCAGTGAATCGCCTTTATAACCCCGTAGGCATTTGAAAGGGTTCTTAAATTAGTGTATTATGAATTTGGTTTTGATACTATGTGAATTTAACATAGAAAGGTTTTAACAGGTTTTAATTAAATGATGTATGGATTTGCTTGGTATTTCAATTTGTGGTATAGAACCGCCAACAAATCTTTAATAAAAGTTATATGCATAATAAGTATAAAAATATTTTTGGATATACAGTGTGTTATGCTTTTGTTGGAAAGTAAAAATATATATTTGTTAGATGGACCACTGTATTTTATCTCAGTTTTAGAATTGTTAGGTAATATTGTATTGAACCCTAAAATATTTTTAAAAAGTATTGAGATTGGTCAATAGTTTACAAAACGAACACATATTTAATTTATTTGGTCATAGCTTTTAGTCCGTCGTTCTGTAATTTGAAACTTAAGAAAACATCCAAGCCGCATTCTTTATTTAAGTAAATAAAAGTTAATCTATTTCATGACCTAATTTTTCTATAACATCGAGTGATACTGTTTCTTTTTCAACATGTATATTCATTCCTTTTTCTGCTTTCGTCGTATACATCTTATATATAGTTATTATTAAAGAATAGTTATTTTTCAAATATTTGTGTTTTTGTTCTACCCATATCCTTTAATAAAAAGTATTACAGATTTGCCAAGCAATTAATTTGTTGTGATATAGTATGATACAGACATCAAATAAAATTATCAGAATTTAAGTATGTTATGTTGGGAATGGGGTGTTAATACACTGTGACCTAAAAGATCTATCGTGCCCCCTTCTGTCGCTAATGCAGCAAGGAACTGTCTCAGTGCCTATAACGACCATTCCAACCCTATCTTCTCTCAAGGAAGTGTAGGATTTGGAGTGGCTTTAAGTTAGGTCGATCGCCAGAACTTCAAGGTCAGTTACCAGCCCCTGGAAAAACATTGTAGCTTCAAAATGGATCGCGTTATCTTTTCTATTTAGTAACGAAGAACACCTTCCCAGATCGATCCACTTATCATGATGTATGGGAAGCATTACTCAGTCTGAGGGAGCACATCTGGAGTCCTATGTACAGAAACTAGCCATGCCCAAGATAAAGAGCAACCAGCTAAATTGGAGTATCATTAGAAACATGGTGGAAATAATCTTCAAACATTCCAAGGCCCAAATACTAGTCTGCAGCCATTCGCCTAGTGTCCAGGTTTCAGCAAAAACTGTCCTTTGTTGTTTCCATACGAATGGAAATTGTAAAATTGGGTCCAGTTGCAGATACATTCATTCAATTTTAGTTCCAGGAGGAACTATTTCTTAAGGAGGGGGCAATGTGACGCGAAGCCAACTCTGTTCTTTGTTTATTACCGTACACGTGACAGTAAGTCTAGCACTGACCACACCGATTCGAATGTTTTCCATCGCAGTCTTACGCGTGTAGCATAATTTCTAGAAACTCCAGAGTTGGTTCTTTCGAAAGCGTTACATTTTTATATAAATAGCCGCGATTTTGTCGATAGAAGATAATAAGTTTCAAATTAAGTGCTGTATAGAAAAGATAATTTGTAATAAATAATTTAGAATTGTGAGTTGTAATAGTGTCTAAAATTAATTAGTACGTTATAAATCAATTATAAATAGTGTTTTAAATAAATAAACTATAAATAAATTAAACAAAGGTTACAATAGCTATTCTCCAGCATAAATATTTTATATTTCGAAATGGCCCATGACGTTAATGAACGTCCATACTTCTAAATATTCGCATACAGACGGGCCAGAGCGTGTAATTGGCATTAAAGGTTGGGCAGCGAAACTGTTAAAATCTCGTTTCACAGACGGTCAAAAAATTTTTATTTTTTTAAGCTACGTAAAAGACACTTTCATTAACCTTATATTTCAATTTTATTGAATTCTTAAGAAAATCTGTTTTACGAGTGAACTACCTTAAATAAATAAATTATATATATAACTGTATTAAGTAATTGAAAAAATTATTAGTTGAAGTTGCTTCATATTCTATAAAGTATTTTTCCTCTTTTGTATGAAGTAAGTAGTACTTAGTGCCAAGAATAACACCTGTCATTCAGACTAAAGTTCCTTAAGATTTTTGGAGGCAAGCTGCAATTTTCAAGGAAATGCATGACAAAAATTGGTACTCTGTAATCCTAATACACAATGCAAAAATGTGCAATTTTAATGACAATTTGCATAAGACAGTTGTGAAATAAAAAATAATTATGTACGTTTTCCATTTCTGTCCTGAAATTTTTATAAAAAATAAAATGTTTAAAAATAATTGTCATCATAGTATTCAGTTATAATTGTGTATTTTAAACATTTGATTGTCATAATTCATATATATTGAAAGGAATTATCCTTTCACCTATACAGGTTATCCCAAACAGTTGTATACAAAAAATGGGAAAAAGTTTGCATATCTTCCATTTCACAAAAAAATATTTTTCATAAAAAGTTCTGCATCACTTGGAAATTTATAATGAAGCATCAAATTTTGTAAAATATAAGTGGTATACAGGAAAATAAACAATAATGATTAAAACAGTACTTTTAAATTTCAATATTGAACAAAATATTAATTAAAAAATCTCTAAAGTTTTTTACCCAGATCTTCCCTTAATATAGGAATTGTAAAAACATGGAACTCCTAAGCACTTACATTTTAACAATTTTAAATTAAAACCAAACTAAAAATCCCTTTTCACGTTTCTCTGTCTATTAATATTCCTCTTGATCCCCCTCGAACTCTCACTTCGCATCCACCCCTGGGGGGCTATTTTCAAAGTATGGGAGCTCTTATTTCTCTCAAGATTCTCATCAGAAATGTTATACGTCAATGTGGAAATGCTGTTTTTAAAGGCTTGCTTTTTTTGCTTTTTAAAAAGTCTTAGTTATAATAAAATATGTACATTGCATATATAGATATATTTCTTCGGGTTTCCCCCCTTTTCCCGGATCCCTGGCAGATGTTCGCCTGTAAAAGTATCTATAAGCTTAACTCGTTATGGTTGGGGTTGCATCTCCTTGTCTTTTGACATTATATGCTTGTTAATGTAGTGAATGCTGTACGCAGTAATTGACTTGATTTGTGTATGTGGCGTTTGTTAGTTGTGTTAGTCTCTCTGGAAAAGTACACAAAAAAAGGGTTGTCGTTACGTGTTTGCATAGGGCGTCGAGTAGTGTTGAGTGGTGCTTTCTTTTCGAATCAAACCATTCATCTATTTGTAGATCATTTGCGTAGTAAAGCGTAAATAATCCAAAAACAAACAAACAGTTTGGCTCGTTTGATGTTCAGCCTCTTGCCATCACAGTTCGGTCTTCATTCCGACCAGAAAATAAATAAGACTGATTTATGCTCGAACGGCCGGCCTCCCCGCTCGGTTTAGCGCCAATCAGAATGCAATTCTGTCTGGCGTTGAGACTGACCATGAGAAAGTATGTATTTTCACTGTCTGTAAAATGTGAGGTTTTTGTGCAGACATCCATGTCTCCTATTATGACTGTTTTCGTGGTTTATTCTTAAGATGTCCTCTTTAACTTCTTGTGGGAGGCAAATATTGTAAAATTTTTCAGCCGTTTGTATGATAAAGTCCTTAATAGGAGGCATGTTTGTCTGTGTGTGTATGTCGATTGTCCCTGCGTGTCTGGGGTTGTGTGGGTCAAGGACGTGTCCCAGAATCTGCCTCACACCTGTTTTGGACGCGTTGGAGTTTGTTATAGTGTGTTTCTGCCATAGAACAGAAAACTTGACTTGCCATATGTGAGAATTGGTCTTATTATTTGTTTATATAAGAGTATTTTGTTGTTTAATGTGACTTTGCTACCCCTTTTTAACATAGGGTATAGTAATGATGTTATAGCATTGGCCTTTTTCACTCTTGTCATTTATGTGTTGACAAAACGTTAGCCCCTTATCTAAGTGAAAACCGAGGTATTTGATGGTTTTTGTGGCTATGATCTCCTGATTTTGGACTTTTAGTTTGTTTACTATGTTTCTAGTTCTCATTTTTGTAAGTACTATGCTCTCGGTTTTAGTAGGATTTATTTTCACTAAGATATGGGACCAACGTTTCGTTTATATGACTGTCCAGCTTTCTATTCGTGTTTTCTGCTGATCTGGAGGATTTAAACACACAGGTGTCATCGGTGTACAGATGCGGCGAAAGTACCGAGCCCTGGGGCACGCCCGATTCCGCAATGTACGGTCCTGTTATGTCATTGTGGATTTTTATGTGAAAGTGTCTTTCGTGAAGGTATGACTGAATGGTTTTTACAATGTGAACGGGAAAGTTATTCACGTACATTTTGTGTATAACCCATCAGTCCAGACGGTATCGAAGGCTTTTGCCATGTCGAGGGCGACTAGCACTGTCTGTTTATTAGAATTCATCGCTTCTTTTGCGCGATGTGCTATGCGAGTGATTTGTGCGACAGTATTATGTCCGGATCTGAAACCGTACTGGACTTTTGGGGTAATATTTATGTCGTGTTCCATGTTTTTTAGTCTAGTCAGTAAGATTATTTCTACTGTTTTGGCAAGGCCGTTCAATAGGGCAATGGGTCGATAGCTGTCAACGAACTTGGCTGGTTTATTGGGTTTTTTAATCTTTATTATGTTGGCTGTTTTTAGGTTAATAGGGAAATGTTGGATTTTAATAATTGAGTTTATTATGTAATGTAGCTAGACTTTTATTAAAGGCCTCAAGGATTAAAATTCTTAGGAGTATTTTAAAGAGAAACAGTCAGTGAGTTCACACTGGCCTTAAGGGCCCTAAAAATACTGTTTTACCTTGACATATGACATTTCTCTCGAGAGAAATGAATTCTCTCGAGTTTGAAAATAGCCCCAATGGTGTTCTTTGGCATGTTCACCGTTATTGCACGATAATAATTGGCTGCTTTTAAAATGATCTAGTTACACAAACTAAAAGGGCGCTTTTTATTATTTCCATTTAATACTCCGTTATATGATTGGGGGACTACCACAAAAATCATTTAAATAAACTGGAAATTCTTCAAAAAAAGAGTAATATGAAGTAAAAAAATTAGGTATCCAACAGATTTACTATATAATGAAGTCAAAATTATGGATATCAGTCAGTTATATATTTATGCAGTTTTAATGTACACTTACAAACATAGATATTTTACAAAAAAATACCGTTAACTATCAAAGAAGAGGTAAAAATACAGAAGCTGTATATACTCACCTTCTTAATAAGTTAATATCGCAAAGATATTGTTTGTATTTAAGTGGAAAAATATTTAATTTCCTCCCAGAAATGTACAAGATATATTTGTTTACTACAAACTCATTTCAACTAATCAAAACATTAATGAAATAGTATATTATTCAACGAGCATATAATAGCCATTATATGCGAGTAGAATACTTTACTTTGTCCACGGCTATTTAATAAATCTAACCAGAATTACAACTCTATTTTTTATGTCATATTCAATATTCGGATAACTAGTAACAGGGTAATTAAATAAATAAAATTTAAAGTTTTAGCATACCGGTGATATGATCATATATTTTTTAAATTGGTAAGTTTGGATCACATTTTTGGGGTTAGGTTAAGATTTTTAAATTACTTTTTATTAAGATTAAAAAAATTGGGCATTATTTACAATAAAAATTTGTATAAAATGTGTCCTAAAATCTATTCTACTTACATATTATAACCTAGAAGTTAACATAAATAACATTCTCGAGTTTAAACATAATATGACGTCATACCATAAATAATGGTTCATTATTCACTGTATGACGTCATACCGTGAGTAATATATATATATATATATTTTTTAAACTATTTACCCTGTTTATAATTGACAGAAAGTATAACTGGTTTTGAGCCAGAAAGGAAATATCTTTTTGAGCTATCGCATCAACAGACAGACAGAATGGGTGACTTTTTCAAGATTAAAATACTTTCCTCTTATGTACGAAAGTAATAATATGCTATAGTTTAAGTCAGTACATTTGTTTTTAAGTGATTTCGCTTTAATTTTTTCAATAAATAATCAAAAACCAATATTAAAGAGTGCATTGGAAATTTTTGAATTTTACACCTAATATGTTTGATTATAGATTTCCAAGTGATGGCAAAACTTTTTATCAAGAATATTTTTATATTGGACTGAAAAAGTGAACAAAAAAAATAGTAATTCAGGCAGAAGTTGAATATCTCTTTGTCATTATTTTACTAAAGCTAAGATATATTCAACTCCTGTTTGGATTATTATTGGTTTTAAAACTTTTATGAAGAATAACGTTTTTTTTGAAAATGTGAAAATAAAAAAGTTTTTCTCATCTTTTTTCAATCTATTTGGTGACACCCTGGTTGGTGACACTTGGTTTTAAACACTTTTAGGGAACAAGAGTTTTTGGCAACATTGTGAAGTTCATTAAATTTTTTCGACTCTTTATGAAATACTGAATTTTCGGTTTTTTTAGTCTTTTATTGGGTGGATTGAAAAAGTGCGCTTGTATAGTATGTGTATGTATTTTGTTATTATACACCAACTTATTTACCAGATACTTCGGTTCTTCACCTTTTTGAATTTTAAAAACAAACCGATAACAAAAAATTCGAAATTGCCTTTAACTGACAGCCAGTTTAAGTTTCTTAATGTTTTATTGATGTGTACCTATTGCAGCCCAATATGATTGCTCTATTTTGTAGCTTTTGTATTCTATTTAAATCATTTTGATTTAGAATTGTGTAATGTAAGATAATTTTTATTCCATTTGTATACGACTTTTTGGAATACACTAATATATTTCATATCGCAATAATAGATAGCTTTGCTGCACACAACTGTGGAAAAATAGTTTAATAATTAATTTAAATCAATTTCATCAATCAGGATACACAGTGAAAAGTATAAAGCTGCTCGACAAAATACGCACATCAAATGTGTTGACGTTGAATGGGTAACTGACAGTGTAGCCAAAGGTTATGCCCTGCCACACCATTTATACCAAGTCAAGAAGATTACTTCTACGCCCACTAAATATGACAAGCCTGTCAATCCCGAGTTTTCAATTTTGAGTGCTATTGGCGGCCTAAATGCTTCACAGCAAACATCTGTAGATGATAGTATAGCGACGTTCTCTCCAAGGCAAAGCGACAGGGTTAAAAATTTTAAAAGAAAAGGTAAATATGTGGCATTTGATAACTAATCATAGGGAACCATCACCGGATATCACTTATTATGTCTTTTTTATTACCCAATGTAAAATCAGTTGTTAAAAATTAAAGGAACCAAAAGTGGTTAACGAAAAAAAAAAAGGATTTGTATTTCGTGCCAAATTGTTTATTTAAATTGCAAAGCGCTTTCGGCATAACGCCATCTTCAGTGCTTATCTAGAATAATTATGGCTGTAAATATATGATATAAAAAATATTGCCTCCAACATTGAGTTTCTTTCTCTAATTTGTAATTTTTTAACTTTGTTAAGTAAAAATCTTTTTTAAAATTAATATTGTGACTCAAATTTCTTGTTTATATTTACATATTTTTATATCATATATTTACACCCATAGTTATTGTAGATAAGTACTGAAGATGTCGTTATGCCGAAAGCGCTTTGCAATTTATATAAACAATTTTGCACGAAATACAAATCTTTTTTTTGTTAAGTTGTTAAAAACACATAGCATTTTTGACCATAAAATAAACTAAGTACTTGTGCCACCCTATTTTTAAGAAACTAAAACACGTACAAATTATCGGAAAAGAAATAAAAAATTTTATAGCACTACCTAATCCTATTTATTTCGATACTCACCTTATTGATCTATTATTTATGCATCAAACAAAGCTATAGTAGAGACATACTTTTTGTTCTCACTGAGTATACCGAATTTCAAGAATTTAATTTATTTTTAGCTAAAGATTACTATGAAGATTTAGTTGATAATTTGGACATAAAAAAAGCCAAAAGGGCAGGACAGTATCTAGATGGGTGTTCTGTAAGTATCATACCTATTTTATTTAAAATTTTGTTTTAATTTCATGATGTAACTTATACAGTACTAATTTATACCTCTTTTACTAATACACTAATTTATATTGAGAATATTGATCTGAACACAACGATCTCTTAACAAAAACAGACTATAATGGCAAACTTTTTTAGTCTCGTGCACCTACCAGATTTTTTTTTATTTCGTTATCATCGGAGAGTCCAGTACATTCCATAATGATGGTTCACTTCGACTGATGACTATAGTCGTCCCATAGGGGGGTGAATAGGTTGTGATTAAGATATCGGTATGTCGCGATCCCAAAGAAAATTCTAAAGCTTCGCCAATCAGGTCTTACCTTAAATTTCTGATTTCCTTGCTTCCTGATGCAGACTTTTCTTCCTGGGCGTGCATGCGCCGGATCTGTAGGGGTATAGTGGACTTTCTTGAGGGCTGGTATTTGAATGTTCCGGGAGATGTTTGAGGGTTAGTACCGAATTAATAAAACGCTCTTGTGTATTCCACGGCTCTTGAGGCGATACTGATCAATTCTACCGTTCACCACGAAAAGTCGTTCTTCCAAACGGCGGTGATCTTTGCCCACTGAAATAAGGCAGTAAAGTCTCGGAAATCCCCCAAGTCCATTCGCTTTCTTTATTGTTTAAATTTAATGTAATAAAATGGTTGAAACAAAAAGTTACTAGATTTTGGCACGTCGTAGATTATTAACATCATGTTATTGTCAGGTGGCAGTTATCAAAATAATTTTGAATTTGTCAATTTGTTAAAAATTTGTATATTTTGATATTTCAAAAATTTATTTAATTTATTTAACAATAATTCTAATGCATTGGTAGGATTCCCCACCCCGACCATTCACTGTTGGGTTCTAATTAACTGTGCTGTTCCTAAAGTGGCGCTAGGAAACAGTAACAAGGTCTGTAACAGTAAAATCATCGTCTTCCATTCCAGTTGTACGACAGGGGGTTGCGGTTGTACGATAGAGGTTGCGGTTGTACGACAGGGGTTGCGGGAGGGTTGCAATTCCAGTAAAAAAAATTATAAAAAATTTCATTTTCGCATGCATGAAACTTGGTGTACACGTTGATATGAACATAAGAAGTTTAAAAAATATCGTCTTTCACCTGAATTCTATAACAAACTACGTCTTCCACCCACATAAATAGGCTCAAAAAAAAAATGTAGTCGCAAAGTTGAAACAAGTATAATGCTTATTTGTATGGTAAGAAAAATAAAAATAATAGTCTTCCACCTTTAAAACACAACAAAGGTCGTCTTCCAAGCCGATAAAGGTGTTCTCGATATGCAGTGTGTGCTAACAACTAGAACGTAGTATCTTTACCTGTTCGAAAGATGTTCATTGTTGTTGTAAAATGTTAAAAGAACTCTTACAAAGTTGGTATTTACATGATAAATTATTCATAAAATTAATAAAGATTGGCCTATAACTATACTGTATATTTTACACAGTTTCGAACATAATTTGTTAGAGAGCTCTGTAACATTAACAAATTATTGTGCATTCCCCACTCCAACATGTATCCATATCATAATTTAACATAATTCCTGAAATACTGATATTGCCTAACAATATAAGAATATCAGTGTCAGAGCACCTCATGATTAATATTAATATTTTTCAATTCAGAAAAGAAATCTTCTGGGTGCCTTTGATCTGAACCTTGTATCTGAAAACAACGATCTTCTTTTGATCCTTTAAACGTTCATTATCTTTTATAGATGGCAAAATTTATTGTTCAAATGCGACGACGTTTGCCTGTACTCCCTCAGTGATGCGATATTCCACCAAAAGTAGGAGGAATCTCCTTCCTCCTTCATTAGGTGTAGTAAAAAAAACATCGTGGTATAATATTTGTATTCCTTGGTTCCTGTTATCTTTTCCAATAATTTAAACAATGCTGATTTGTCAGTCTTACAAATGGAGCCATCATCATGGCAAAGCGAAGAGGGATTGGCGTAAGCGGATACGCCATTATTACTTTATCGATATCCAAAGTTTTCTCCAGAGAAACTTTTAGAAGATGGCCGAATAAATCTCGTTGCGTGCGCATTTCAACAACTTTTCCTCCGTGAATATTTTTTTTTGAACTCACTGGCAAAATTTAAGATTTTTTTATTACTGTTTTCGAATCTCTCAACATCTTCGTTACCTTCTTTTATAAAATATTGTTGCTTATTTCCATTTTCTTCAACGTTCAGTAAATAATCTTCATGGCTCCATACGCGCTGCGTATGGAGCGCAACCTTATCAGCTTGGAAGAAGATCTTTGTTGTATTGTATCGGTGGAAGACTATTTATTTTAGCTTTCTTAGTAGAAAAATAAGCGTCACACTTGGTTTCACCTTTGCGACTATACTTTTTTTTATATATTTTGTTCTTGTTTATGTGGGTGAAATCCGGGTGGAAGAGGATATTTTCTAAACTTGATTTGTTCAAATTTTCACGGTAAAATATGCAATATAGTTATTGGCCAATCTTTATTAATTGGATGGACAATTTATATTATAAATATGAACTTCGTAAGAGTTTTCTTAACATTTTACAACAATGATCATCTTTCGAACAGGTAAAGATACTACGTTCTAGCTGCACGCGCAGCATGTCGAGAACACCTTCTTCGGCTTCGAAGACGAACTTCGTTGTGTTTTAAAGGTGGAAGACTATTATTTTTATTTTTTTTTTTACCATAAAAACAAGCATCGCACTTGGTTTCATCTTTGCGAATAAACATTTTCTTTGTTTTATTTTGTTTACGCCCATGTATGTGGGTGGGAGACGTAGTTTGTTGTAGAATTCAGGTGGAAGACGATATTTTCTAATCTTATGTTCATATCAATGTGTACACCATGTTTCATGAATGCGAAATTGATTTTTTTAATTTTTTTTACTGGAATTGCAACCCCCTGTTGTAAGGGTGCATCGGAAGACGTTCATATTAGAGTTATACATTACTTGCATAACTCATACAAAAAAAATTAAACTTGCCAAAATGACCCGGAAATTTCTGTCGTTACTTCCCGGTCTAGAAGGTGCGCAACATGTAGCAATGAAATTGTCATAAACGATTTTCGGAAGAAATGCCTGATGTGAAATGTTCTGTATGGTCAATTAATACATGGATTGGAAAAATTGGCTTTCGCTTTAAAAGAAGTAACAACAGACAGTTTTTATTGGAACGAACATCGATTCAGTTAAAAAAAATGTTTTTGAAAAAATTACAAAGAGATAGAGCTGGGTAACTTTAAGCCTGAATTTATGGATGAGACGTGGGTATATAGCAAGGGAAGTGACAGAAAAAGTTGGCAAGATGAAACGATGGCTACTGCCAGTAAAAAAACAGGAGATGGAATTCGATACATACTTGTCCGTGGTTATAATGAAGAAGGGTTTATAAAAAATGCAGACCTCATATTTGAAAGTCGAACCAAAAGCAGGGATTACCATAATAATATGAACACAGAAAATTTTGATAAATGGTTTTAGACACAATTTATACCTAGTCTGGAACATCCTTCTTTGATTATAATCGATAATGCCAGTTATCATTCGCGGTACGTGGAACCAATTCCATGTTATAGTTGAAAAATAGATAAAATGGTTGCAGAAAAAGAACATTAATTATCCAATCAATGGTATGAAATATCAGATTTGGGAAGTTTTAAGTTAAAATCTACCACGAAAATAATTCCACCTTGATAGATATGTTGAGGAATATGGTCAAATAATATTAAGAACCCCATATTACTACTAATACAATGCAATAGAGATGGTTTGGTAATAGTGCAAACGGTTTTATGACGAAACATTTTTAACAAAGTCATTACGGGAAGATGTATTTCAGACTTGTCAGAAGCCTTGAATAATGTTACCGATATTCAGTGGGACAATTATGCAAGACACACTAAATACATAATTGTTTCCGATTGGGAAAAATACAAGCAATTAGATGTTTCTGATCTAGAACCAATTATTATTAATTTATGTACAACAGCAAGTAGTGATGAGTGAATCAGAGTCCAGTTGTGAAGAAAAGTGATATTCATTAAAAAAATTTATATGAGTTATCCAATAAATATTTTCTGTGCCTCTTGTTATAATATATTTTTTTAACAAAAAATCTGTTTCACGAATTTACATCTGTTTTGGATTATCTTTAAGAACTCTAAAAAACAATTTTCAGCTGAGAAATTTATTTATAAAGTAAATTGTTCTAGTATTTGTAGACAAAATGTAAAACGTAATCTTAATTTTTTCAAAGTGACTTCTTGTATTCGAGTAACGCACGTTAATAAAGTTTACGCTGCTAAGTAACAACAAAGCGCAACTGAAATAAGAAGACTGTAACTAACTAAAAATTATATACTCTTGTCAGAAAACTTGGGGTATTTCTATCACTTTTCCTTCTTGGTGAAATATAATTAATGAGAATAATGAACATAAAGGTGAAATAATACGTTTCATACTGGATGATAATAATTAACTTTAAATTAATTATATTAAATAAGTGAAGAATTAACAGGCGGTAGAAGGCCCAAATAAGGCAGAGGGGGATTTAAGGGATTAGGCTGGTCGAAAAGGCTCGCATTTTATTAAATGGCACTACTATAAATGATTAACAGCTGGTCACAATAGAATATAACGCAATAAGACTTAAAGAGTTTGCTACCGCTTAGTTAATCGACTATCCTGCAAGGGCCTGGGATTTTTCTGTTTTTTCTAAAAAGATCAATTTCAATTAAAAACTTACATGACGTAGAAAGTTAGGCATTTCCTCGTATAGTAGGGAAACACCAATTTTATAATTTTTTTTATATCTAAAAAGCGTTTGAAATGTACTAATTTTTTCTTTGCTAAAATTAAAAATTCATCAATTGAAAACTAAGAAAAAAATTAAAAAATATATTGCTGCATGAGGTAAGGTCTATTCCTTAGATTTTATTTTGTACCAAGTTTATCATAATTTTTTGTTCGACATCTTGTCTAATAAACTATTCACTTCTCCTAGACTCAGTCTGGAATTTCAAGTTATATCAATATTGGCGGAGCGTTTACCTGTACCGCACTCTTAATCTAAATTACTACTAAAGAAAGCATACTGTCACTTTACACACAATCATGTTAAAAAACGACGGTTTTCTACAACTACTAATGGCTCATTTTAGGTATACCTAACAGGTTTTAGCACCGATCACACCGAGAAACTGAACAAAATCATAAATTTAAGCGGCGCCACTAGATATGATACTTTTTCAGACAGAGTAACGCACGTTATAGTTGGCGATACTTCTACCCATGAGATGACACTTATTAAAAATAAAAACACTTCAGCCGTACTGGTATCTATTCATTGGTTAGTTGACAGCATAGAAGAGGGGCATCCGGTTAGCGAAGAAAAGTATTTGATTATTTCTGAAAGGGATAATAGTCAGTTGGGGTCTCCTTTGAGCAAAAAAGTAAGTAATGATTGTAATCAGTGCAGTTGTCATTAATATATTCAACTTGTCAGTACCTACATCGTCTATAAATTATTACTTTACACTATCGTTTTTGTTTAGGGTTTAAGTTTACTTCGGGCCAATAGGACTGCAACTGAAAAAGATATTGAATTAGGTAATATAAATAAAAATTATGAAGAAGATGAAGAAATGCAAAGGTCATCAAACGCTACTCTTGCACGCTTAACTAAAAAAAATATTGAATTAAATAATATGAATAATAATGATGAAAGAGATGAAGAAATTACTACTAAGAATTCGACAGCTTCTAATAGTAAGTGTACATTTTAAAAAATCTCATTCTATCTTTATCTCACGTCAAATATAAAATATTTTTTCATATACACACAGAATGGTGTCGATGTTTTTGTAGCAAAATGTAACCATTCAGATATCACTCCAGACCGAAGAAATAATTATTAAAGTTTAAAAGTCTCATTTGTATTATAACGTGTACCAATAAATCCAGATACATTAACATGTATGTCTGGGTTCGATCCCTGGCGAGACAGGTTTTTTTTTCTTCAAATTTTCAAATATTTGTTTTCACCTTTGGGGTTTGGGGATGGTCTTAATCATTTGTAGGGGAATTGTTGAGATTTGTTTCCGAATTTCCAAATTATTCTACAACTTATTTCTGACTTTTTGATTTGCAATATATTAAATTAACAATTTTCACTTTAAATTTTGTTACCAAATATCTATTTTTATCGCCCCATTAATATTCTAGGAAGTGTGAAATAGAAAAATAAATAGGTGACTAATTCTTTATATTAACAATTTTGGATAATTCATAAAATGGCGTGGCAACTCAATAAAAACGGTATCGTAATAAATTAAGGTTTTCTTAGCAAACTAAAGTTTTTTGATTGTTCCTATGTAAATATGATTAAAAATTCTGATGCATTGTTATAGTTCATTGTTCTTATTATATATGTCGTAGGCTTATGGTAAAATTAGTCTTATTATAATACGCCTAGGCTTTTTGAATACGACTAGGCATATTATAATATTACCCAAATAATTAAGAATCTTACAATTTGACTAATCATTTCAGGCGTATTATAACAAGCCTGTCGATGGTTAGTCTTATTGTTAAATTGAATAGATGTGCAAGTATTTTAGAATCGGACTAGATAAAATCCGTCGTATTATAATACGATTGACGATGTGCCAGGCGAATCGTGTTTATAATACGACTGATGCATGACTGTGTGCCATGCGAACTATACTCAACCATTGATTTTAAACACGCTGAACTATTTATTAAAATAAAAATACAAATAATAGATTAGGATTCCACTCGACCATTTACTGTTGGGTTCTAATTGATAGTGCTGTTCCTAAAGTGGCGCTGGGAAACAGTAACAAAGCCTGCACATAACACGAGGCTAATAACCTTAGTAGTTAATGCCGATGACACAAAAAAAAAGATTAGGATTATTTATTACAGCATGGTCCGCTTTTATGACATTTGCTAGTACATTGCATACGAGCTTTAAAACATACATATGTATTGCAAGAACACTGTTTAAATCCCTTATTTTAAATATAATTAATATTTTGCACAAATATTAGGTAGGTACAAAAAATTAAAACATCTAATCAACTCAACAACAATGATATTTGCAATTCGGCTGGCACATCGTCAGTCGTATTATAATATGACGGATTAAATCTAGTCGGGTCCTAAACACATGCGTGTCGGTTCAATTTAACAATAAGACTAACAAGCAGCAGGCTTATTATAATACGCCTGAAATTATTAGTCAAATTGTGAGATTCTTAATTATTTGAGTAGTATTATGATATGCCTAGACGTATTATAAGACTGATTTTATAATAAGCCAGCGACATATACACTATATGATTCTTATCACTCATTTACACTACGAGCCTCGTCATTCTTTTAACCATTGTAAGTCTTGGTTGAGTGCCACAGTGTCGATTTTTTAAATGTTGAATAAGGAAACTTGATATTCGATCTATTTTATATCTTAATATTTTTATCTTAAATAGCAGTTTTGTATGTTGTCTAGCTTCGACCACCCAGTCTGAAACATTTTTAAGTTAAAAAAATATGTTACAAAATACATGTATCTCTATCTCTGCTGTCTTTCCTTCGCATGTAATTCAATGCATGTTGCGGCATTAGCCAAAGGAGTAGTTGTTTTTTGAAGAGGAGGCGGTCGTTGTATTTTGTGTGATATTGGCTTTGAGCTAAATTCATTTTATTTCATTTACGTCTATCCACATTTGAGTTTTGATTTATTTTCGTCTACAAATTGCCCGCCTGGTGCTTTTTGGTTCCACCTAGTTTTCTAACTGGGTACCACAGTGCATTTTGATTTTGCTTACTAAGAACAGATGGCGACACCATTTTACTACTTTAATTCTTATTCTCTTCATAACCAACTTTATGGTCTACTAGTGAAATGTGTAGCATTTGTTAATTCCATTAGAGACTGGTATTGAGAACCTATCTATTTCTTGCTGAGGAGTCCTAATAAGGACGAAACCGGTCCAAGAATGATGTTCTCCTTGGTGAGCAAAATCAAAGTAGAGAGTGTTGAAAATTAATTTCTATCTCTGCTGTCTTTCCTTCGGATGTAATTCATTGCCTGTTGCAGCATTAGCCAAAGGAGTAGTTGTTTTTTGAAGGGGAGACGGTCGTTGTATTTTGTGTGATATTGGCTTTGAGCTAAATTCATTTTATTTCATTTACGTCAATCCACATTTGAGTTTTGATTTATTTTCGGTTTCTTAAATGCTGAAATTTGATAAGTACAATTTTGTGACAAATTTTTTTTGAATTGAACCAATATATAGTTTTAAGAGTAAAATAAAACACAGTTTTTTTATTGTTGTAATACAAGTATAAAGGGAGATTTGGGGATGTACATGATATTACCTCATCCTTTAATTTCAGCTTTCCCCTTTTTATTTTGCTAATAGAACAGTAGTAAAAATAGTCTCATAATATTTAATATCTTCTAAAAACTATAGAACAGCATCATCTCTAGAAAGTGCTTTATCGGCACTAGGAACGATATATATGTTGCAACTGTTCTAAACGTTTAGTATCCTATAAAAAACATTACAATGACACAATTGGGGTCTAAAAAAAATAACAGTAGCAACTCTCATTAGAAGCTTGAAAAATACATTGAATTGATTTCTTGTGTTCTTTAGTTTTACGTTTGATTTTTATCCTGTTTTACAATGTGGAACGACGTAAATCTTGCTTTGATGTTTTTTGTCACTCATGTTACTTGTATTCAGGTACTTTTTTTCACATAATTTTGATTCTTTTCACCAATTTTTTAAAAAAATCACTTCATTTTACATTGAATTACATAAAAAATTTACACCGCTGTCATTCGACATGCCAACTATAGTCAATATCGCAAACTTTATAAAAAGAAGGACTGAAATTTGACAATTGCCGATTCGCCTCCTTCTCTCTAGTCTTCATATGCCTACCTTACTCAACTTAAACTTTTACCCTAAAGGTAATTTTGTAATTTGTATAAAGTAGCCCATGCGCAACCTCTTAGAGGTCATCATTGGGTGTCTTTCTTACTTTATTCGTAATATTTCCAATTAATTAATTAATTAATTTATATTATATTGTTTTCCTTTGAATAAAGATTATATTATTAATTCTGGAAGAGCTAGATAAGGTGTGGGGCATAGTTAAGAGAAACACAGGAAGTTTATAAAAAGAATAATTAATTTAAAACTGTAATTACGGTGGAACAATATGAAACCCAAATAATTTTTAGTCTTTATTTACAATCAGTTGCACAAAAATAAACCAATAAATACGGATATTCATAATAAGCGGTGAAAACCTTCAAGGTAATTAGCAGTATAATTAATTTAACAAAAACCGTTCTCAAAATTAAAGCTTCGTGGAAATATAATTAAAAAATAAGTCAATAATACGGTTATATCCACGGGAATTTCCAATCAGCGCTGAAAACCTGCAAGTTAATTAGCAGTACAATTATTCTAATGAAAATGTTTACAAAATTAAAACTTCGTAGGAGTAAATAAAAATAAAAAGATCACCAACACGGATATACCCACAGTATTTCTAATCAGCAGTAAACACCTCCAAGTCGATAAACAGTATAATCAACACGATGAAAAGGTTTTCTAAATTCCAGCTTCGAAATAAGAAAGTTTAGTTCTGCATTTTTAAATTATTTATGAAACACTCTTTTATACTAATACGCTGAATTAATGCTTTTTGACATTAAACAAAATAAATCAATAATACGGTTATACACACGGTATTCCTAATAAAAGCTAATGGAAATATTTACAATATCAATATTTTGATTGCCATTATTGTCATTCTAAACTAATCTTATTTATTTTAATTGGCATTACTATCAAAAAGCAATGAATTAAAAACGCGATTGCGACGTTTGCTAACGGTGTTAGCCCAGGGATTATTGTCGTATTTTCGGAAAGATTAAAGTTGACTAATATTTAGGTATTTTAATGGTCGGTTTTCGTTAAAAAGGTGATGTTCAAAGGAATGCGGTTTAATACGGTTGATACAGTGACAAATAAGGGAGCAACGTTGTCTCCTGGTCAACAGCCTGGAGTAAATTAAAGATTCACTGATTAACGCAGTAGTGGAGGGTCTATTGACTCGGGATACCTTAGATGTTGAGAAATTTAGTCGTTGAAACAAGTCTGTGAAATCACTGGCCTCGATTCTCTTACGAAACTTCAGAAATCCCAAAATGGTATTCCGTATTAAATGGAAAAATTAATTTCCCTGTGCTACGAAACTTAAACTCTGGCTTTGAGAAATTTAGTCGTTGAAACCAGTCTGTGAGATCACTGGCCTGGCATCTCTTACGAAACTTTAGAAATCGCTAAACGGTAAATAATACAGAACTAGGAAAACTCGATTTTCTCGGGCTATAAAAATGATTTCTGTGCTAATATTGAACACGACGAAGGTTGATGAGGAAAATAAATCTTGGTTGCTTACTAAAATTAAAAAAACCAATTACCTAATCTGTGTGGCCTGGAGCTAAAAAAAATTCATATAAAATAAGAAAAATTACAAAATAAACAACTAATTTAGGTACTAATTTCGTAATATAATGCTTTCGATCTTATACCATTTCAATCATTTTGATCATTAGTACTATCAAACATTATGTGATTTCGATCATTTGTAATTTCGATCATATATGATTTAGATCATTTGTTTTAATTTGGTTTTTTGGTTTCTATCTCACTTTTGAATTTTAATACTTTCGAAAAGAAAAAATATTTTTCGGACTTATTTCACTAACTCATTGGAATAAAAGTCATAAGGTTGGTTAAAGGAGAGTTTTACGTAAACAGATTTTTAGTTTAGAGCCACCTTCAAAATTTTTAAATTTTTACTAGTCTTTGACTAATTTTGAGAAATATAAAAATTTCAATTTTCTTCCTTTTTATATTATAGTGTTGTTTGTTGAGATATCAAAAAACTAAAAGCAATTGTTTATAGGTACTTTTCTCCTCTTCAATATGACATAAGAGTGCGCCGTTTCGTTTTTTTGAGCCCATCGTAATACTTTTTTGTTTGTTTTATTTTTTATTCCGATTTCAATAGAAAAAAAAATACGCTGTTTACAACTACTATATACCACATTTTATTATTTTACGATGATTTAATCCTAAAAATTTTCACTTTAAAATTTAAAATAATCAAAATACGGACCTGTAATAATTAAAAAAGAGACATTTTAGTAATTAATGGGGTTTCAGAATTTAAAAATCTATAAATTATTATAACACATTCCTAAAGCATTAAAAAGATATTAGAGCCGAAAAGCAAACTACTTTACGCCCACATGAGCCGATTTAAAGAAATAATAGAATATAATATCAGAATATTAAAAAAAATCATAAATCGTTTAATTATTTTAGGTAGCTTTTGTCAAACTCTCTTGTTTTAATATATTTACTATAATGCGCTAGTTCAGTGATGATGTAATTATGGTTCCACTGACAATTAAAGTGACAGTAGATTTTTTGAGCGCGTTTTGTTCGTTTTGTTTACCTAAATTATATCGTTTTTTTCACTTTTATAAATATATTCCTAAAGTAAGTAGATAGCATGTATCAAATATACAATCGTTTAGTTACCAATTACATACCTTTAAACTATTTTTTATGACCTGTAAACAATATTTTGAAATAAAATAAAAACAGTAAAAACGTATATGTCAAATTTATTGATGTTTTTGTTAAAAGTTTGGTTAGAATTAAATGTCAGTGGAACCAAAATGACATCACACTGAACTAGCGCATTTAAAAGTAAAGATTTTTATTAGGGATGGTCTATTTTTTAAGGTCCGTATTTTGCCTATTTTGACTTTTAAACTGATGTTGATTTTTAGGATCTAAAAAAAAGATAAAGTAAAGTTGTAAACAGCATATTTTTTCCTATTGAAATCGATTTAAAAAACATCAGGTCCGTATTAAAAAGAAAATGTTGATGATTGGCCCAAAAAACGAAACGTACTCAAAGCAAATTATACCAGAGAAGAAAAAGTACTTACAAAGAAGAGCTTTTAGTTTTTTGATATCTCCACTATAAGATGATTTTTTTTTTACTTTAAAAAAAAATAGCTAAAATTTAAAAATTAAGAAGAATCTGTTTGCGTAAAACTTATAGGAATGTTAAACAAATTTTTACTATTTAGTGTAGAGAAAAGAATTCTATCTGAATTTATCCTTAGTTTAAATTCTTTCTCTAGTTAATTGAATATTGATTATATTTCCGAGAAATTTGCAACCCAACCTGTTCCATCATGTTCTCATTTTTTATTTTATAGTTTCTGACACCTTGGGCAAGCTCTTAGAGGGCATTGACAATACTAATTTTACTAAAGCTCCTCAAATCGACGAGCTTCCCAAAGCGACTCCTCAATTTCAACCTTCTGAAACATCTACACAGCAATCGTCGATATCCGTGACACAAGATGCTGAATCTGAAATTGATAAAGTTTTTGAAAATATAAAATTTCTCGTTATCGGATTTGATGAAGAAGAATTTGAAAAATTAAAGGAATCAATCTTGGGTAAGGATTTTTTTCGTGATCTTGGTGGTTTTTAAATTATTTTGGTTTGTTTTTAGAGCTAGGTGGCGAAGTTGTTTCAAAAACCTACAAAGGAATACCGGATTTCGCATTGGTTCCAGTTTTTAATCAAAAAGAGTTACGTCACACTGCTTCTGAAGTAATAAATGACCTTTTTATTGCCGACTGTATAAGAGAACGGGAACTTATATTGAGCATTCCTTATTACCATAGGCCGTTTGATTTACCGGGTTTGTTGAAAACGAACATTTATTGTATTATTTATTAATTTGTTCTCATTATTTTAGACGCTAAACCACTGGAAAATTGCGTAGTAACTATAAGTAGTTATACAGGCACAGAACGTGTTTTTCTAAAAAATTTAATAGAAGCCTTGGGTGGTCTACCTCAAGAGCAGTTCTCTAGAATTAGACAAGAAGCAAAAAATCTGCTTCCAAGTACACATTTAGTAAGTCCAGAACCTGCGGGGAAAAAGTATGAAGCCGCTTTAAAATGGGGATTACCTGTAGTAGGTAATGATTGGTTACTTGAATGTGCTAAGACTGGAAAAAGGGTATATGAGGGAGATTATCTCCTAGGAGACTCAAAAGGTCCGTGTTGATCGATTCCTTAATCTATTTACAGATTTTTTCAATCTTAAAGCTAATGATCTACCTTTTCATTAATTTTATTTTACGTTGTAGCTCCTGATAGGAGAGAAAACTCCACCGAAAATACACTTCGAAAAGACAAATCTTTAATGGAAATGCAAAAGACAACTTCAACTCCTACATCAAGTCCGGGCCCTAGCAGACTATCAAAAGTATTAACGCCTGTCAATCAGGTCACACCTTATCACAAACGGTTTTTAAATAGTGCAGGTAAAAAAATTTTTTTTACAACATAATCGTCTCTACTATTTCATTTAATTTTTCTAGAAAAATTCAGCCAAGTAACACCGGTCAACAAAATTATGAAACAATTTCGAGAAAGCAATTTAAATTCCAGTGTTACTACTAAAGAAACCACCGATTACACTATACCTCAACCATGGGCGTTTGTAAAGACTCCAAATACGCCTTTAGAAGCTTGTTTGACTCCAAATCCCTCTTCATCTTTAAGAAAACAATGTGCTTACTGGTTGCAGCAAATTCCTGATAAGGGATCTCCAAAAAGTAATAAAAGCACCGTAAGTATAAGTACCGCACTAACCAATGACCACAATAAATTTTATTTATTACATAAATATATATTAGCCTAGTAACCTTCCCACCAGTAAGGCATAAAAATGTTGAGGTTATTGCAATTATTCCAAAATTCACAGTTTAGCAGAAATATCACATAATAGTTTTTGTTTTATCACATTTCTTTTTAAAGAAATTGAAGTAATAAAGTCTCACTTTACTGTCGTTATCATTTCACGTTTACGGCGGATCTTAGATGTTTAGTTCTAATGTAATTATAAATTAGTCTTTCTGCACGGTTTTTTGTTTGTTTTTTTTTTGTTTATTTTTTACAAAAAATGATGGGGACCACCTTCTCATTTCCTGGTCGAGGCATTCTTAAATTGATTTGCAAAGTTAGAATTAATGGTATTTATACTTAGGCGGTTCCAATGGTAATAAGAAAATTTCCCCGCAGGTGTTACATTTTTGTTTAGAAAGCTTTTGATAATTACCTCTCAGATTTCTATTGTGACTAAAGCGGTGTGTTTCTCAGATTATAATAATAGTGACTGTTGAGTATTTAAAATTTTTCAGTTAAATTACCTCTGGTTCTCTCTCCTGTCTCTTAAAGTTGTGAGGCCTAACCTTGCAAGTCTGTCATCATATAACAAACAGCTCTTTAAGTTCTTGCTGTAATCTGGTTATTCGTCTTTGCACTCTTTCTACTTGCTTTATGTCTTTGACGTAGTATGATTTCCAGACAGTTTGGGCGTATTCAAGTTTTGGTCTTACAAGTGATTTGTGAAGTTCCAAGATCATTTCTGCCTTTAAAGGCTGTTTTAATAAGGTAGATCATTGAATTTAATTTTGGTCATTTATGTGATATGTTTCCCATTTTAGGTCTGATTTTAAAGTGTAGGTCTTTTTGTTTGATTACTGATGTTTTTTCCGTTTGTTCAAAAAATAGTTGAATTTTTGATTATTTTGATCAATATCTTAGACGGTGCATTTGAAATCATTCGAATGCATTTTCCACAAATGTGTTCACCTTTTGATGTTGTTAAGGTCAATTTGTAATTTAGCAAGATGTAGCAGTGGATTTGCATATGAGTTTCCATTATCACCAAAAGAATCATTGTTGGTGTGAAGCTCTTGATAAAGATCACTCAAGTACGCTATACACAGCAGTGGTCCTAGGACTGGTACCTGAGGAATACATATGTGTACTTTGTGGTCTTTGGAAATTATTAAGAGCTTTTGCTATGTCCGTGACTAAAATCTTATGGCAGTTAGAGAATGTTCTCTATCAGACCATCTCTGGTAGGGTTTAATCTTTTTAATTTTATAGATGAACTTTCCGTAAATGTGGAAAGAAGATCCCAGCGAACTATGCTGGAACCAAAAAGGTTCTAATTGAGAAAAAACATTGCAAGTTATTTTATGGCTTTAATTGCGTCATTTAGTTTAAGTTTAAATTATGAGCAGCACAATGCATATAAATGGCAAAGCCAATTATTCTTTTTTGAAGTATATACCACTCGTTACATTGGCCCCATCATATCCCTGTCTCCTACACTTATTTATATCAAGATCACATGTGTTATTCCTTCAGCAGACTTGGGCAGTATCTATTAAAATAGAATAAAACGGAGCTTTTTTTTTTTTTTTTTTTTTTTTTTTTTTTTTTTTTTTTTTTTTTAATTTGGTGTCATCGGCGTCGACTACTACGGCCATTAGCCTCGTGTTCTGTGTAGGCTTTGTTACTGTTTCCCAGCGCCACTTTAGGAACAGCACTGTTAATTAGAACCCATTTTATTTTTTTTTTTTGGACTATGTTTATTTAAGAGAAATCAAGCGAAAAATTTGCAAAAATGAGTTAAAGGCACCAAGCGACAGAAGAAGGTTTAAAAGATCCAATTGCTAGCTATAGCCCAGTGCCATCTTTTGGCCATTGAACCAAACGACACATTGGGAAAACAAATTCCTAATATCCTAATTCCGTTCGCCAAAAATATCTTCAAACTCATGTTACTAGCTTAATAAACATAAAATTGTGCCAATAATAACATATTAACTATCTGACAATACTTAGTACACAAAACTGGAGTTCTCTACACTCAATATTTTTATAAAGCTTTATCATCTTTAATCTGTAATATCTTAAAACAATTTGACGCTTGGTTCTTTTTAAATAGACAGTCCAATTAGTACTTAATATTAAAATTACGAACCGAATTATTTTCCTCAACTTCTGAAACCTCACTATCGATATCTGGTTGGATAGTAGTGGTATCTATAGTGTGTGCTCATGAGATATGTTTCTACTAAATTTTCATTAAGTTGGTCTTGGAATGATTGTAATTGGATATTCGAGAGACGCTAAAATGGTGGTACCCACCTTATCGAGACTGAGGCCCACAAGGGTAAACTCGTAGCGCAAAAAAAAAACGAGAAATGATTTACCTTGGAACGAAAGACCGAAAGCCGATAGTAGTATTAGGAAGTTTTGGTTTGTGAAGCATTGGCATTACTTAGGTTAAACCATGTGATGATTTTCACAAGCCTTGATTTTTAAAACCATTCTATATCGCCTTTGGATTAGAGTTTACAAACTTGTTCGAGCAATTTATCCAATAATAATTGGCCCCTTTACCTCTTAAGCCTGCTCATATAAAATATATTTGGGCTCCTTACTTTGCCTATTTATATAATATTAATAAAGGACAGAAGGATGAGTATTGCAACTATGCTAAAAGAAATAAATCGGCATTCAGTTTAGAATTATGTTCAGTACATGACTGATATTTATTTATAAAATAAAAAAGACAGTACCATTGCATCAGATCTATTAGAAAAAATTCAATATAATTCGCAATATCACAACTATTGTACAAGCCAATCTGACTTTCATGTACGGCAAGCCATCACTAAAAGTTCTCAAAATACAATTTTTATTAAAGGTTTGCAAAAATTTAATATGTAGACAGTCTACAGAAATTAAAAAACAAACCATAAATGTATTCAAAAGTAACCTCAAACAATACCTGATAAATAAACAGAACGGATATACATACTTTCTTGTGATAATACTCTTTAAACCTGCCCTTTTTAAGTATTTCCCTTAATTTATTGTTATTTTACCCTTCGTTTTACTCGTATTTATTATAAATGATTTGTTTTGAGATCATGGACTTTGTTTTAAAAAATTACTTGATGTTATATTAATAGTACCTACCATATTTAAATTATTAATAGTTTTGTGGCTATAGTTTATAGCAACTTATAGCCACAAAACTATTTTTGTGTTAAAGTAGATCCATAGAGATCAATATAATTTACAAAGGCCTTCTTTCAACATACAAATAAATGATAACTTTATAATTAAAATGAAAAACACAACAAAATACCTCGGTATCATAATGGATCAAAATTTGAAATGGGTCACATTCCGTCATTAACAACCAAAGTTAGAAGATTCATTTTTAAATTTTATGAATTGAGGAAATTTATGACTAGGAGTTTACTAATTATTATTTACAATTCGCTGGTTGAATCTATTTTGCGATATGGACTATATGATATTGCACTTCAACACCTTAATGTAATCCAAAATCGTATAATTAAAATTATCTGCAAAAGAACCAGCATTATATAAAAGAATAAAATAAAAAATACGTGTGGCACTCGGGGACTGCCGCGGTAAAGCTATTGCATAACATTTTTTATCAACTTATGCAATTATAATTATTTATTTATGCAGTATTTTTTTTTCTTTGATATTAGTTCAAGTTTTTTCTTTGATATTAATTCAAGTTACACTTTTTACATTTACATTTTTATCATTGAAACTATAGGTTTATGATAACTGAAATAAGAAACATAAGTTTGAGACTTGATATCCTCTAAATATCTGGAAAATACCGCGTCAATGGTGGTCCAACATTTTGTTGTGAATTCTTGTGGATCATTATTCATTTTCAAATTCAATTTTTTCTTTTATTGAATAAATGAGAAGTTAATATTGTTTAACGCCGCACCGCTGTGCCGATCGGAGTGGGGGGTGTTAGGTTTTTTTTTCGTTACGGTTTCGTTTTTTTTTTTTCTTGATTCGGTCGCCGCGCTCAAAGCCCGCGATAAAAGCTATGCAATAGCTTAAAAAATTAATATCTAATTTTTACGCCAGCCGGGAACATTTGTGATACCAATTTATTAGAAGCCAGAGAAAGCTCTTCTAATTCTTGTATTGCATAAACGTTCCAGTCCGCAGACGTATATTTAACTCCGCTTCATACTAATACGAATAGGGTCGGATTCGGATAAAACCTTCCACGGCATTCAACGCCGCACTGTGCCGTCGGAGTGGGGGGTGTTAGGTTTATTTTCGTTACGGTCGTCACGGAATTTCTTGATTCGGTCGCCGCGCTCAAAGCCCGCGATAAAAGCTATGCAATAGCTTAAAAAGTGCTTTGTATAAGAACATTATATTATATATCTTGCTATACCTTTATTTATGAAAAGCCTGAATTGAGATACACTAAAAATTATTTTCAACAAATATCAAAAGAAGCATACAAACATTTTTAAATAATTTGACATTTAAGAGCCATTCACACATCACAGTTGACATCTTGATACTTGACAGGCACAGCCAAGCATTATTTTGATTTTTGTCAAATAAAATGGCCGGTTAATTATTCTATCGGATTGCAACAGAGAGCCAGTAAATTAGATGAAGGTGTTTTTGTGGCTAGGGGCGAAATAGTAATAAGTTTAAGTTAACACCACCATAAAAAAGTCATTTTAAAGAAACTGCTTATATATTTTTCATAAATTGGCAGGCTTGGCGACTAATTTCGAATAAAAATAGCCTCCAAAATGGCTATGTTTGCCATTATGAAAGTCGCAACCCGCCTTAGAAATCTCATCTTTACAATCAACAGCTGTTGTCTGACAGGTCGTTGGATATTGTTTGCAATGTATGGAATGTAAAGAATGTTAGGATTGTTAGACATTAGAAATAATTGGAATTCCTAAAATTAGTCATATAAGAAATGCATAGGCGGATTTTAAGAAAATTGATATTAAAGTAGTTAGGATGAACCGAAAATTCTGAAAATCAATAGGGTTCTAAGTTAGAAGTAATTATTTAAGAAAATCAAAACCGCAAGTCAATTAGAACTTTCGTTCTAGAGTTATCTTGCCGGCATACATACACACAGACGACCAGACGAAAAATTTTTTTTTGCATTTTCGGACTCAGAATGATCGGAAACATGAAAAAAAGTTTTAAAAAATGGGGGCAAGAAAATTTTTTCGTCTGCACGAATGCAATACTGAGGCCCCATAGGAAGGGCCTCAGTAATTAGCATGAACACTCGCGCCACTCCTAGAGGGAGTCTGATGATCTGCACTTGATGGTTTCAGATTAGGCAAGAGAAAGTCATCGATTTTTCTTTTGCTTCATTTAACAATTTTCTCCTCTTTTTTTTTCGTAGCTCTATTTGTAAAACTTTTTTTGTGTTATTAGTGTTCATTTCTAAAGTAAAAATAAAAAATACTGTAGCTAGGTATCAAGGTTTTTAATAAAATCTGCAATTTTAGAAAAACGGTATGTTGGAATCACTCCAAAATTCGAATTTGAGATAACCCTAGACCTTTATGTTTTGTGTTATACACATGATAGATATTTGAAGAAAAGTGTAATGTTAATTTATTTTTACCGTGATCTAACTTTAATGAAAATAGTGACTATTTGTTGGAAGAAAGATAAAACTAAATCATTACCTCTACTACTAAGTTGGTGACGTTAATGTATTTTCCGAAACCAGATTCATAATGTTTAACATTATGCAACTGGTTGCGTAAAGTAGATCATTTTGACCCTTGCTGCGATTGCAAAAAATGTCATATTATGTGTCAAAATTAGAAAAAAATTGTTAAATTAGATAATTATAATTATGTTGTGGTTAATGAAGGAAAGTGAGCCAACTATTCGGATGCTTGCCCTCAGGGAAACGAGACTGGCCATAAAATAAATGGGTGTCAATAAATGTATACCAAATTTTGTAAATTTTATTTTTTACGTTTTCAATACTACTTGTTTGTCAATCTCAGTCTTTACTGGAATCCATATGGTTTTAGAAGATTTTTCACAATTTGTAAAAGTACTATTTGGGAACGCGAGACCGAGGCACGAGACAGAGGCAAGCGACCGTGTAAGGCGACCGAAAACGGTCTCTTTAAGTCTGAATCACATGTAATTAAATGAACATTTTGTATTAAGCGACTGATGCAAGAGACAGCGATAGCACTTTCAACACGTAAACGTAAGTGCATCGGTCGTCTGATGCTATCGCTTGCATTCGTCTAGCGTTCCCAAATTGTACCGTAATAGTGTTTTAACTTCAATTTATATCTGAAGATGTCCCAGTAAAGCCGGATCTTGTCTACTTTAGTTAGTTGTTAATAAATTGTATGGTATTGATTTAGAGTTTCATTCTTTCTTCAAGAATACCGACTACATTTGAGATTTTGGATATTTCACTATTTATATGGTTTACTTTCAGCCCTTATCTGAAATAAAACGTCAATTGTGGGAAAAGGTGGCTAAAATTAATGGTGAAAAACTAGATTTTAGTGAAAGTGGAGAAGGCACTAAACTCCAGGAGAATGAAGATGGTGCAAACAAAGAGGTATTTAATTAATTTAAGATACAGTTATTATGCAAAGATACAAAAATACAGATTGTTATTGAAACATATGTATTAAAAGTGACAAAATTGAAGTTACACATTTAATTCCGTGATTCCACCACGAAACCACCACCAAACTCCAAAAGTGGGTCCCGAAATGTTCTACTTCGATTTTTAGGATTTGATTGTATATTACTGAACACAATTTTTATACACAAAAAATTATTTTTCTCTAAAGGGCATTTTGATAAATACAACATTATGGACTTCCAAATAATTCCGATGGTATACAAAGTAAGGAATTCCTCTTGATTCATTAGTATGGTAGTCTGAGATGTTTTGTCTCGTTTTGTGAAAAAGGAGGTTAAAGTGTTCTGCGTTCAGGGTGTCCTATTTTAATATCTATAAATTTAAAAAAAAATGTTCATTCAAAAACGCAAACTCAGATCTTTTGTATTTGTGAATTCTGTTTATAATTTATTATGTTTTTCTATTAGGTTTGTTTGGGCGAAGCTGAAGAAACGCCGGAAAAACAACAACTAGCTAATAGGCTTCAACAATTAGAAGATCTGTTGAGTGCTAGTGGTTGTGGGAAAAGGCAAAGCAGAAATTTTCAATCTACCATTCCTGTACCAGGTATATAAATAGGTTCAAATAAAATTGCAAAATTGATACTTAAATAATTAAAGAAAAACTTATTGTATGATACTTAAGTTGGCATCATTCGGGAAACTTTTTTATTATTAGTTTTATGTAAAAAAGTTATTCTTCAGGTATGCACGGTATAATACTTAAAATACAACCATCATATATCACATACGAGGTTTACCAAAACGGTAAAAAAACAGCGTTTTTTTTACATTTTATAACTTCTTGATTTACATTACATTAGTTTTTAAAAAAATATAGTAAGATCCGTTTTCAAGATATCTTGAAATAAATGCATTTCTTGCGTACATGACAGGCTTCAAGAGTGTTAATTAGGCACATTTTGATTGTTAATATCTCGTTTCACAGACGGTCAAAAAATTTTATTGAATTCTTTAGAAAACCGTTTTACAAGTGAACTACCTTACTAACAATTTTTGTTATTGTTAATTACATTAAATTCATATTTTTCGACAAACCGTGACTGAAAAAATTTGATACCTGATGCTTGAATTTTAGGTTTTAACCATGTAGAACTTTTTATTAAGAATACCTTTTTCTCATAAAACTAAAAAAAAAAAATCCTATATGGTGACGACTTAAGTAGACACTGTATAAACATCGATACATTTATCTGATTTTTCTTGTGTTTTTTTAGCAGGCACAGCAGAATTTAAAGATTCTCAACCTTGCACAGTAGGATGGGATTTCAGGTCTCAAGAAGTAAGTACATTTAGTCTATTTTAATATACATTTTTAAGTAATAAACGATAATAATATGCTAGTTAAAGTTTTTCACTTGATAAACATTTTTTGTTTTTTTATAAAGCTATATACTGGACGAAGGTTGTGATGATTGCTTTGTAAAGACAAAAAAACGGGCCTAATTTTATTAAATTTAATTTTACACTTTTGTACTCGTCTCATCTTCACCACAAATTCATTTTACCCTTTGTATTATCCTATACAAGTAAATTGGTTTATCTCAGAATTGCAAAACTAGAAAAGGGTGGGAATATAAAAAATAATAGCCACAATATGTACAGTACGATGGATATAGCTAAAGCCGCCAAGGTCATATACGGAATGAATTGAAGAGTCTGTTCCAGTTTTTCGAGGTGATCACTTGGATCTTAATACATTATAGTCGAAATTGCTAAATGTAAGGTGCCATAAAAAATCGCTCTCTGAATTTACAAACTCATGAAATTATACATTCAACATTTTATATAAGCAGAATCACAAAATAATAAATTTGACAACACGACATGCATGCTTTTCTCCTTCACGCCTCAACTTGGCACATGTCGCGGCTTTTGCTATTTCTGTCAATCTGTAATTTGAATTTCCTTCATCATTGTAAATCAGATTTCCATCAGCTTTATAACGTACTTTCAGGAGCACCAAAGCCGGCACAGAATATTTTCTTTGTCTGGAATCGCCGATGATTCCGAGAGAGCCAGGATGGTGCAGCAAATAGAACAATTAGGAGGTACCGTTTCCAGTCTGGCCAATTATGATCCTGCTTGTACGCACCTCATTTGTCCCAAAGCGGGAAGAAACGAGAAAACGTTGTCTTGCATGGCGGCCGGCAAATGGATTTTGCATACTTCATATTTGGAAAAGTCCGTAGAGGTTGGGTATTTGGTAGATGTAAGTAAATTTTGATTTATTTAAAGGTTATAATATCCGTCTCTATGCATACAGTCCTGTTTCATACATTATTTTTTATTCGAATGTAATAAATTAAATTTATTCATAAGATTGGGTGGCTTATTGTCTGAATTCAACGGTAATAGTTTTAACTTTGCAAACAAAAAAATCATACCAAAGTTCAATATTTCCAAGAGAACTAACAATTCAATAATTGATTAGTTTGTTTTTTTTTTTTATTATAAACTCAACATCTATAGCTTGCACCACTTTATTACTAATTTTTAATGTCAAGCCTTTGTCCTACACACACTCTATTGTTTACATTTCGCGCCCTAAAAATAGTAGAAAGTCCAGACTTTCCAGAAATATATAACGTCGATCTAAAGCACACATATTGTAACTCCAAATTTAATGTTATAAGGATCTTGGTACCAATTCGCATTTTTGCCTTCTTTTTTTGGGCACAAACATTGTAGCTCCAACACCCACCAAACTACAATAAATTCAAATTTAAAACTGAGAATTAAGGCATTTAATTACACTTTCTAGTACACCTCGCTGAAGTTTAAATTTGCGATTGTCACAAAATGGGTTTTTGGAGATACGATAAGTGTGCTTTAGACCGACGATAATTAATTTCAAATAAAGTAGTTTTTCTTTTATAGATGACAGTCGTATGTCCGTAAAGTATGGAATAAATTCGATATTTCCTAAACTAAAAGCTATTTCAAAAAATTCTGAAGCACGTCGATTTTTAATTTTAATGTTCTACACACTTCTGTTCGCCAGGTTAATCCTGATCTCGATGTTAGCAAAACAACGGTACATAAATTAATAAAACTTGAAAAAATGACATCCCTATAAAATCAAACTAGTACAGGAATTAAACGAAAATGATCCAGATACAAGAATACAATTTTGCGAAGTAATGATGGATAACTGCCACCGAGACCCTCTCTTCGTACAAAACATTATTTTTTCTGATGGGACCACTTTAACATTAAAGATCAACCGTCAGAATTGTAGATAGTGGGCAAAAGAAAACCCCAACTGGATGCGTGAGCATCATACACAATACCCGCAAAAGCTAAATGTATGAGCTGGCATTGTAAGAAATAAAATCATCGGACCCTACTTTTTCGAAGGTTATTTAAATGGCCAACATACCTTCAGTTTTTAAAGGAGTATCTCGTACCTATTTAATTTATTCCCGAGTAGAATTAATCCTGGAGGTTTTGATAAAAGTCTACGGTTTCAACAGGATGGTGTGCCTAGACGAAATTTTTCCGAACAGGTGGATTGGTAGACGTGGACATATTGAAAGGCCATCGAGGTCGCCAGACTTCAATCCTTTAGATTATTTTATATGGGGCCATCTGAAGAATGTTGTTTATAAAAGGAAACCAGCAAATATTGAAGAATTAAAAGAGAGAATTCGAACAGACGTAAACAATATTTCTCAAGAAACCATAAACAAGGTTCAACAAGAATTTGTAAAACGTTTGAGTTACTGTCAAATACAGCAAGGACTAAAGTTTAATTTAAGATAAAGTCATGTATCAATTAAATAAATATCAATAAAATTTATTTTCTAAGAGCATATCTTTGAAATTCCACAAGTATCATAACTTTTTGGAATCAGCTCATTTCTCTTGATCATGTCAGAAAATGCAGGGTATAACATTTAAAAAAATTGCCGATGACGTCATCACCTCAATTTGTATGACCCTGTATAATAAAATTTTCTTGTAAAATGTAGAACATTAAAATTAAAAATTGACGTGTTTCAGATTTTTTTGAAAAAGCTTTTAGTTTAGGAAATATCGAATTTATTCCACACTTTACGGACACACTATATTCCTATAGATTACAGCCATCTCAGTTGCAAGAAAAATTGGAAATAATAGTATTTCAGATTAATTTTTTATTATCTAAGCATATTCTAATAAAAAATAATGTACAAAACGCAGACGAAAATGTTTTTTTATTTATTCCTACGAATTGCCAATCTAAACTCACGAAAACTTTTCGTCCTTATAGAGGTTAAATTTTTGTATTGCCAACATATGAAATAATGAATTAACTTCATTTTATTTCAGGAAGAAGATTATGAATTTGGCAATCCTAAATCGGTAGGCAAATTTCCCTCGCCCGGCGATAGAGAGACCGAATGCCGAATGCAGAAAATGCATTGGTGGCGAAAGGAAGTGTCAAGAAGAGGATATGGTGCTTTTAATGACATGAGAGCTATAATTGTAGCAAATAAAAGAGATCCAATTGTAAGAGTTGTTGAGGCTGGAGGGGGAGTGGTGATTGATATGAAGTAAGTGCTTTTAAATTGAATTCCATTATTTATTTCTAGCAAAAAACTTCTTTTTGATCGTATTATATTATGACATTGTTCTTAATTTTTAGACCACCGTTCGACGATACAATTCATGCGACCCATTGCTTGTTGGAGCAAAAAAGTGTGAAAAAAATTGAAGATTACATACCTTTGGCCAAGCAAGGAATATTCCTAGTAAATACAGTATATATTAGTGACTATCTGCATCAACCCAACAAAAACATCAGGGAATGTATCTTACCGTATTTTTCCAAATATTACGGGAGAAGTTGATAATTCTTAGTTTTTAAGCTCAAAAATGTGATGTAAATAAGTCTTCTATTTTTTAAATTTTTCTTTTAATAAAAACGAATTAAATAGGTTTGGTTTAATTTGATTTAACGTATGGTTCATAAGTTTTGCGAAAATTTCTAAGGCCAAATATTTTCAAACTGAAATAACTTTATTCAAAAACTATTTGTTCCTTACAACTAGGAATCTGCCTAAAACATAAATTGATTATTTAATAAAATGTAGTGGTCCATGTTGCTCCACAAGCCTCAAGTTCCTACGAACGTTCCTCAAGTGTTTAAGCACCCTCAGCGTCAAATTCTCGAACCTTATACCTAATTCTACGTCGTAATTATTCACGCGGATAAGAAGAGAAATTCGGCGCTCGGGGGTTTTTTAGGTTGCTTAATTCATATATAACATCGGCGAACACCCCCTGGACACCTGGTGCGCTGGAACCGGCACGTGGACGTCATCTCCGAGAAGTTTCTTGCCAAGAACAAACCGAAAAACCTTGTAGGGGTATTTTTTTGGGGCACTTGATCCAAATTTCACGTCGAAAACAATCCCCGAACACCGTCGTCTCCGATGGTTCTCCAGACACAATCGTTAAAGACAAACTAAAAATCGTCATGGGGGTTTCTAGGCACGCGGAATCCGAATTGCATCGCGAAAACGTATCTTCGGAGACCTGGTGTACCGGAACTCCGGCCTGAACATCATCTGATAGGGTTTTCCTCAACACAATCGAGACTACTGTGTCTTATTAGAGATCCCCATATACCTCACTGTATGTATATACTTCCGTACGAGGAAGTAAAGTCGGGGACGGGACTCTATATATTGTATCGTTTATACTTTATACTTGATAATCGAGTATAGAGGAATACATGGGTAAAGGATAGACGCATTAGAATCGGTGGATGGGGCATTCGGGATCTTTTAGATACCAGGAAAAATTATCACATAGGAGTAATGCTTGAATTAAGGCCGTAACCGAGCGTGATGAAACCTCGACGTCAAATCTATTTGCAGAGTAGAACATTAGGTTCACTCAATTTTCATGAGAATACCACTCGTCCCAAACACGACTTTCCAGCTCTTAAGGGGTCGTTTTTTTTTTTTTTTTTTTTTTTTTTTTTTTCTGTTTTTATTTCGTCTATATTTACAAATTTCAATTTATTCAAATTCAAATAGTAATAAAGTACAAATAATAATAATAATATTTTAAGATTAATATAGATTACAAAAAATCTAGAATTAGCAACAAGCCAAAGCAAAAGCTGCCTGTGTTGCTTGTGCTGATTCTAAAAGATTTGAAATAAAACGTACATTTTATATTTTAGTGCCTAAGTAGGTATAAAAATAAGTAGGATACAAAATTTTTTTAGATTGAGTACATATGCAGAGCGAAGCAGACGAGGGTTATCCAGGAGTTATTCCAACATTTAATACAACAAATTTCAATTTTAAATCAGGTATAGCTTACAACATTATAGCAGTAAATGTGATTTGGTTATCTATTATATATTTTTTAATATTTTGTTTGAATATAGTTTACTTTTTTGTTTGAGATGTATGGGGATTAGATTGTAGAACTTGGGACCAAAGTAAAAGAAGGACCTTGGGGTTAGAGATTTTTTAAAAAGTTGAGTAGAAAGGTCCATATTTGTAGTAGAGCGAGTCAATCGAGTTTGTTTATATTGAAATAGTTCAGGGCTATTATATACTTTTATGATACATTGGTAGATAAAGAGTGATTTAATGTTGAGGATTTCGTTTTCATTATATAATCGTATGGTAGTGAATAATTTATCTTTTTTTAATATTATTTTCAAAATTGTGTTTTGTGTTACTTGCAGAGTATTAAGTGTAGTGTTAAAAGCCCCTCCCCATGCCGTAATACAGTATCTTAAAACAGATTCCACTAATGAAGAATATGTCATAATTATTTTTGTCTTAGAGAGAATATCGCGAAGTACATAAAATGTATGCATTAGAGCCCTTATTCGATTACTAACATGAGTGATATGATCTGTCCAACGTATATCACATAGAAAAACTAAAACGTTTTCCCGGTCCCAAAGGGGAATTCCAGTTGGCCATACACTTTTCGAGCACAGTCCGAGTTCGAGAACTAGGACATAAAAATACCACTGTAGCGATTGCAACGTCCGAAACACGATTTCTGGCCCCTAAGGGGCCATTTCCCAGGTCCCAACCGGGTAATTAGAGTTGGCCATAAACATTTCGAGCATGGTATTAATTCCAGAATTCAAAACTACATAAAAATACCACTGGTGCCAGTGCGACGTCCCAAACACGATTTTCTGGCTCCTACCGGGCCATTTTCCGGGCCCGCACGGGGAATTCCAGTTGTCCGTGAACTTTTCGACCACAAACCCCACTTTGGCTTTAGAATGCACCTTCAACCACGCCTCATCTCGGCATCCACCTTTCAGGCCACTTTTGGCCCCTGGGGCCAATTTCAGACGTCGAGGACTATTTCTGAGCGGAATACATATGTGCGACCGCCAAGTCTGAATACTTTTTTTTGTGGGGCTGTGTTATCCGTTGTCGCAGATTTTCCAATGATGTTGGCTGGATGGCATAAAATTTAGTTTTTAATTGACCTCATAGAAAAATCTAACGGGGTTAGATCCGGAGACTTAATACTTCATCTTCCTCCGGTTCATTGACCTGGATACGTTTGATCCAAATATTGACGAACAGTCAGTGCAAAATGAGGTAACGCACCGTCTTGCTGGAATATTAAGTTGTTTGCTATGTACTGATATCGTCAGTCTCAATCAACTCTAGAAATGGCGTTTTCTAATGATTCCAGATACATTTCTGCAGTTAAACTTCCACGTAAAAAAACGGGTCAATTATACGGCTACCAAACATTCAGTTTTTTCAGATGTTGCGTATGCACTTATTCTGGGATTTGAAACGGACCAATTACGACAGTTGTGACGATTTACCGTACCATTTAGGAAAAAAGTGCATTCGTTAGAAAAACACGTTGAAAATAAATTACTGATCATTTATTGCCCGTTCAGTCCTAATTTTAAAAGATTGTAAGCGCCTTTCAAAATCGTCTTCTTATACCAGATGCGCATATTTTGTATTGATGAAACACTTGTTTTTTCAATATTTTCTGAATGCTACTTCTCTTAAGGAGGTCCTTTCGCCACCAATGTTAAATAAAAAATATTAGATTATGACTAAAATTAATTTTTTTCTAATAGTAGAAGTCTTTATTTATCTAATAGTGAACTTTTAACTATAACTTACCGTGCAAATTTTTGAGAATAATTTTTTTTAAAAATGTGTGTGTTGTACAGTGTCTTACGAGAAAGTAAGGCTTCAACAACAATTTTCGAATTATAATTAATTTTACTCTTATTTATTGATTAGATGGAGTAGAAAAAAACTAAAAATAAGGTTTTTGAAATATTTAGGTTTTGTTTTTTACAATAAAATATATAGGTTACCGTGGAATTTATTGAGAAATTAATATTAAAAAATCACAAAAAATTTTCAACTAGGTTACTTCAAATTTTTTTTTAATATTAATTTCTCAATAAATTCCAAGGTAACCTATATATTTTATTGTAAAAAACAAAACCTAAATATTTCAAAAATCCTATTTTTAGTTTTTTTCTACTCCATCTAATCAATAAATAATAATATAATTCGAGAATTGTTGTTGACGGCTTATTTTCTCATAAGACACTGCACAAATACTCACATTTTAAAAAAAAAAATTCTCAAAAATTTGCACGGTAAGGTATAGTTAAAAGTTCAACATTAGATAAATAAGGACTTCAACTATTAGAAAAAAAATAAATTTTAGTCATAATCTAATATTTTTTATTTAACATTGGTGGCGAAAGGACCTCCTTAATACCAGCTCTTATCGTCAACTGTCTTGTACTCAATGTGGGCTCTTGAATATGCCCTAAAATCGCCACCTTTGTAGCTTCATTTACTACAGCATTTTCCATTTCACGTTTTTTTGTTAGCTACTGACCCGGTTACTCAAAATATATTTGTATATTATTATACATAAGTGGAAAATTTGTCATTTTTGTTATCAAGTTTTTCCATTAATTTACAACTGATATCTAAGGCTGAACGATGGTTATCTGTGGATATTGGTGAAAAAAGTCAGAACTCCAAATAAAACAAACATTTCTAAAGGTAGTTTATTTTTCCACAAAGTTTTTGAACCTGTTAAGATAAACAAAATGTGTACTTATTTTAAATCTACATACTAACTGAACAAGAACTTTTTTCCATTAAAAATAACTTCGCTGCCTACTTGTGCCAGTTTACAGTTATCAACATGCTACTCAAGAAGCACCACAAGTTATATAATGGTGAAACCAATTTTTATACCGTTGGTAAACGGTAAGTATTGGCATTCTCGTGGGGAATCACCAAAGGAAAGCACCATAAATTAGACAAAGGTAAGAATTAAGTTTTAATACACTTTTTTAACTGTATCCTAATTAAAGAATTGACAATCAAGTCATAAATACTAACAATTGACAATCAAAAGTCATCAATAATGACAACTGACAATAAGACATAAATAATTGCTACGTTTGAATATCTACATCCAATGTATTTTTAACCTCTCGAGTGTTTGTTTATCCACATCGGATACATCTACATCATTTACATTTACTTATCTTGAATCACATGATCAAAGATTCACATCTCATATGCATCCGATGTGGATAAACAAATGCAGCAAAAAGGTAAATAAATCACCAAGGGAACAAAATTGTGAAGCATACAAATGGGTAAATGCCTCGTTTTTCGTAAATAAGTCATAGTCGTTAATAGTAGTGGCAGCGAAGTAATTTTTTCTTTTCTAACCATGTTAGTAATTCTATAAAGGCTATACAATATTTATTAGACGATAACTTGGCGAGTGAAACATTATGTCGAGTGACAAAAAATCAGACAACACTGTGTGTTTGTCTTATAGGTGTTATTTTTATTATTGCACATATACACTGTTGGCAAGATCAAACCTTCGATCCTGCTTTGCTCGTGTAAGAAAGAATAGTGAATGTAGCTAATATATGCAGAAAAAATAAACAACACAGTATAAATGGTGACAGTGTAGTGCCTTATATTATTTCCTTATCTCGACACACATCAACCACTGTCACCTTTTCGGCAAACATTCCTTCAATGAAATTAATAATCTTACATTCTATGGCATTATTAGTGTAAAACAAAGACTATAACTACCTGGCAACCTATTTTATTATATTTTCATTATTTTCACCTCGTCATGATCATAATTATTTATATTTCTATTCCAAGATTATTTAATTTATAAAATGGAACACAATTACAGGTTCCGTACTGGTGGTCCCGACGAATTAATTTATTTAATGGAACACTAGCAAATAAAGGTTCCACAGCCAGTCACTGCTCCTCTCCTGCACTTGTCAGCGCTATTTGCTATTCACCCTAACACACGTAAACCAGCACAGAAGGTTTGATCTTGTCAGCAATGTAGCAAATAAGTATTGATATATATGAGCTGACAACCTAAATTTAGATTTCACGATTAAAGTGAAATGTAGGAAAAGTATCACAGTTTTTGTCAATAGGAAAACGAAAATAAAGTGATGTTTAAGTAAAAAGTCGTGACTAACGCAAAAACGTGTAACACATTTATTTTTTGTTACAACTTTAGTTATTAGGATTTTTTGGAGTAGGAACATCCAAATATCAAAAATATATATTACATAACGTTTAAAAGAGTATATTATAGTTTACAGTGAATTAAAAAAAATATATATGCAAATAGTCTTTTTAATATCGGATGTATTTAGTTCAGATATTGTTGGATATCAACCAAAAGTTTGATTACGCGGTCCGAAATTAATCTTTCTGTTATACGTTTCTGAAAAATTGGTTTTATTAGGGTCATCATGCTCCAAATTAGTTTTTCTGGTTAGTTACGGTTAAAAATCTGTTAATACCGAACCGTACCCTTTATTTAAATATAACTTTACGATGTGGTCTTCTATTAACCATAAGTCACCATTATTTTGACAGAGATGTTTCTAAAAAAAGTGATATTTGTTAGTTACATTATTTGGACTGCAGTCGTGTTACTTTTGTGACAATTTGACACCAGTGTGTCAACATCGAAATGACAGTCTCAGAATCGGAAGTCCAGCATTTAAGTTAACATAAAATATACATTATTAAAGTGACAAGACTAAACATTTTACTAAAGTGATTATGTGAAAATTGAAATATACTTTAGGTTAAATTTCTGAGGTGGAAAAAGTGATGACAAAGTGCAGATTTTTCCATAAAAAACAAATCGAAAAAATAAAAGAGGATATAACGGGGTAGATAGTGTTAAGCTAAGCTCATCAAACAAAGAAGAGAACGTCTGAGTCACCATTTTTCAGACAACTGCGTTCTCTCTTCATTTCAACTGGTTTTTCAGGAATGTCAGAAAGAGTGGTTAATTTTGGACCACATAACTAATATTTCGGTTAATATCGAACCATACCCTTAACAACTCATCGAAAGTCAAAAAAATATTTTTTTTTGTTTGTTTTTATACCGTCATTATATTGAATAAAATGATGCTTTTTCTGATAATGAAAATTAAGATGTATCTTTTGTTACTGAGATCTGTTGCAATGAGAATGCTAAGAACATTTATATAGATTTAAAGGGTGACAAAGTTACGTTTACTTGACATGAACATAAGTCAAATAAAACATAACAAACAGTTTGTATTAATAATTAGAAAATAAAAATTATCCTGTTTCAGGAAAACTTGAGCTACTGTATGCGCTACTATTGTCGTCATGGTCGTTTGTAATGTTCAATTTATTCGCTGTGAGTTCTTCTAACCCTACGTCATCTGAAATAAAAAAAAAAGTTACTGACTCCTAACCACTAGTTAACTTCTTTTCTGAAACATACAAAAATTTAAAATATTTCCAAGCATGTTAGTAGGTGTGTACACACTGGTTAATCAAGGGTTGAGGTGAAGAGAAAGTTGTATTTAAAGTCTACAAAGTGTAAGGACTATATGTAAGATATTTCCAGTCTTATAAATGAAATAAGCTTTGTCAAGCACTTTCGGCAATTAAACCATCATCAGGACTCTAAAAGAGGGTTAACAGTTACAGCAAACTTTACAATAAACATTAAAATTATAACTTACTCGCCAGAAATAGAAGAGTTGGCTAACATCGCTCACTTGAACAGTATTACTTAGCAATTTATTTTAATTTATTTTCAACAATCTAACTTTGATTTTACTTATTAAGAGAACGTTATTTTTGGAACGGTTTCATTATTAGGACTCATCAACAAGAAATAGATATTCTCAATTCCAGTCCCTAATGTAAATTAGAGGGTAGAAATGTATTTCCTTTGGATATATTTCAAAGCTGTATTAGCCAAAGGAGTAGTTGTTTTCCGAAGGGAAAAGGTCCCTCGTATTTTTTTGGGACATATGGTTCCGTGATTTATTTATTTGATACCTTGGTCACATGTGAGTTGGAATTATTTTCCTGTTTGGTTTCACCTCATTTTTAAACTGGGTACTACAAGCGATCTTTGATTTTGCTTACTAAGTGCAGATGGCGTTACCAGTTTCACTTTGTGACTACATATTTTCTCGCAACCTCCACCAATGTAGGCAAGTGAATTTAACGCTTTTGCTAATTCCATTAGAGACTGGAATTGAGAATATCTATTTCTTGCTGATGAGTAAGATCGAAACCGGTCCAAGAATGACGTTCTCCTTGGTAAGCAAAATCAAAATTAGTGTTTTCTTTGGAAATAATGCCGAAGAGAAACTGTGGCTAGTATTTTGAGTACACATGGTTTCGTGATTTATTTAATTTAGTTTACTTCTTGATCACATTTGAGTTGGAATTATTTTCCATTTTTGGAAATCCTTGATATAATTTAGTTCTCAGAACATTAACGGTTGGATAAATCGTGTATTGAAATACTTAAATTTAATGATTTGCATAGTGAGTGACAATATTCGCAAAATCCAGTTCAATATAAGTTAACTGACCTGACTGAATTCTTGGTTATATGGTACGTTAAGTTCGCTTTCCTCACTTCAGTAGAATGGTAAAGGAACACAATAGTATTAATTAGAGAGAAATAGAATAATAGGCGGGCCGCAATATACATGCAATATCCTATATTTGCGATCAAAACGGCGTGGTTAAACCAATTGCTATCTTCATCCATCTCACATCCAAATATAATTAAGCATCCATCTCATGTTTATTCTGTTGGGTGAGCTGGTTAACATATTGCATATGATGCAGAAATATGTTGGAGTGAAGTACTAAATTGTATATTTTGAATGAAGCATACTCCTACGAATATCGTGCATTTAATTTTTCTACCTATTAATGACGGAATAAATGATTATTGGTGTAGAAGTTTCGGCCACTTGAATGTTTTTTAATGCAGGTCTTCGGCAGTTTAAATACATACTGTGACAGTATTCCAGGAGGGGTCTACATATTGTTTTGTAGATTTTGGTGGCCGTGTAGATGCTAATGCCTTCTTTTTGTAAGTTAAGGAACATAAATGTTTGGCTCCAGCTTTTGATTTTTGCCTGGGGGTGTGTTCATTGAAGTTCAGCTTATTATCATGAATAAGGCCTATGTATTTTGTATTTTACTGAGGACATGGGGTGAATTGATTGGTTAATGTTCATCTTAGTTCATGATAGGGTATCATTAATTGACATTTTTGTGGGTTAACTTGTAACCTCCATTTATTGAACCATTGGGAAATTTCGTTATATTGATTCGTATCTTTCTAATTTTTAAGTTTATACAAAAAAAAGTTATTTATTTTATGGAATTATATACAATATTAAAAAAATTAATACTTGTGAAGGACCCTGTACTTCTAACACAATGGAATATCAATTTGCACGGAATATTTATCTGGTTTGATATAAGTATTTAAGTATGTCAAAAGTATATATTTTTTGTTTTAGGAAGGATTTTTTTAGCAATATAGGTGACAAAATGAAAAACCAAACAATAAACTGATGACATATAATAAACTTTGGTATATAAAATTTATAAATGTTAAATGGCGCGAAATGTTATTCAATTTCATCTTTGTGATCTGCGTCACCTTCAATGTCTCCATCAAATATATCGAAATTAAGTTCGCTAAAATTCCTTATCATTTCGTCCTCTGTAAAATTAATAAAAAAAAAAGTTAGGATTATTTATTATTTATTTCTGGACAATTAACAAAAAAATCTGAATTAACTTTATTGTTAATAGCTAAATATTCCGATCAGATTTGATATTTCATTTACATATTTATTGGAGTGCAATATACAATGCCAATATGTCAGTGTTTATGCTATTTGTATTGTTTAAATAGGCATACCAAGAATTTGAAAAACTTTTCCGATTATAACTACCTTTTAAAAATGCAACGATAGTTTGTAACAGCAAAACTGTAAAAGGTCAAGATATAGCTCGAATTAAAAACGTTTGTCTACACAGTGAAATATAAGTGAATCACATAAGCCATAAAAAACAGTAGTGCCATCTTTCATCTCTCTATTAACATAATACCTCTAAATTGGTAATTTATGCGATTACAAGGCCTAGCCTATCAAATTTGAAAAGCAAGCATTGGTATAGCTGTCATCGCGAAGTTTATAATTAGTACTAAAGTAAGAGAATCATTGGCATAATTAGTTCTTCGTTAATACAATACACAACCAGAGAATTAACACATGCGAAATGATTCTTTTTTTTGTACATACCTGAATCATAGTCGGATTGAGGTTCTCTAGGCGACAATTTACAACCTCTTGAGAAATAAACTCTGAGTCTATCCTTCGCGGCTAAAACTAACCCTAGGAATGGTGGGGATGGATTTAACGGCCTAGATAGGTATTCTGGATGGTATTGTACAGCTACGTAGTAAGGATGGTTCTCCAATTCCAATATTTCCATTCGTTTTTGATCCACATCGACGCCTAAAACAGAGAAACAAGGTAAAAAATGTCAAAAACGAAATGACTATAACAATTTTTTACAGGGCTAACCTTTATGCTTAATTAATTTGATTTAGTTTGATTGATTTAATTTGATCTAGTTCGATTTGATTGGTTTAGTTTAATTGATTTGATTTTATTTATTTAATGTAATTGACCCATTAGTTAATGGACCTTTTAATTTCCATTTTGAAATCGGCTCTTAATTTATTTGATTTAATTGAATCGATTTAATTTAATTGATTTAACTTAATTTAATCGATTTAATTTATTTTATTAGTTTCATTGATTTAATTTAGTTTAATCGATTTAATTTGATCTAGTTCGATTTAATTGGTTTCGTTTAATTGATTTATTTTGATGTAGTTAAAGGTCCTTTTAAGTTTTACTAGGAAATCAGCCTTTAATTTATTTAATTTAATTTAACTGAATTTATTTGATTTAATTAATTTAGGGCCGATTCCACCGTTGTGTTAAACGAAGTTTAAATTACCAAACGAAGATTAAAATGACATTTTTACATTAACAATGTAATTTTAATCTTCGTTTAGTAATTTAAACTTCATTTAACCTAATGGACCTTTTAATTTTCATTACGAAATCGGCCCTTAATATAATTTGATTTAATTTACTTTCATCAATTTAATTAATTTTACTTAATTATAATTGGTATGTGGACTATTAGGTCTTGGTCTTGGCGGACCTCAGTTCTTATGGTAATTATAATAATTTGACAGCATAGATAAGTAGTTGTATTAGTATAGCTTACCTACAAAATGTAGCCCTTTCTCTTCAAACCTCTTAATATAATCCGGATTTACTTCATACCTATGTCTATGTCTTTCATCTATTTGTTCTTTATTACCATATAATAGTTCTATAAAGTTTCAATTACTGATTAAAATCTAATAATTATAGAATTAATTAAATTGACTTACTAATTCTAGAATTATTATCAGAAGCTTTAAAAATAGTTGTACGTTTTCCCAGTCTCATAGTACCGCCCATTTGTCCTGGGTTGTGTTCTGGCATGTCTATGACAACAGGGTGTGGTGTATCTTCACAGACTTCAGTGGAATGGGCTCCTTCTAGATTCAAAACATTTCTAGCGTATTCTATAACGGCAGTTTGAAAACCCAGGCAGATTCCCAAAAACGGTTTTAAGTTGATCCTGCACCATTGACAGGCCATGATTTTTCCCTCTACTCCTCTTTTACCGAAACCACCTGGGACTATCACTCCACTAAAAATGTAAAATTGTTATTTCTGAGAAATTTCTGTTAATGCAAAAAAATTGTTCGATTTTTTTACTTACTCGCAAATGCACAAATTATGCCAAGCATTATGGTAAGCAACTGGATCATCTCGAAGCATTACAGCCTCCAAATTCGATGCTTCTATAAACATCAAATTGACGTGATATCCAACTTTATTTCCAGCATGTTTTAATGCCTTGGTAATTGATGTATAAGAATCTTCCAGTCTTGTGTATTTGCCTACTATGCCTATAGTAATTTCAGACTTAAGATTGGTCATTCTATCGCCCAAATCGATCCAGGGTCGCATGTATTTTCTTATTGGAGGTAGTGGCGTAATGCCTAGTTGCAGTCTCTTGCTCAAATATTCGGCCATTCCGTGATTCTCCATGAAAACGGGTACTTGATAGACGGATTTCAAGTCGGGAATGCTGATAATCTATAAATGTTATTTATTTACTAAAAAACAATAACTGACAATAATTTATAGTAGTATCACAGATGACATGTCCCAGAGAGAAGAGCTAAGCGATTTTGTAACCAAATAGGTCAAGGATCTTTCAGAGATGGTAAATTGTACTATCTTCACATCTCGTCACATAATATGTCAAATAATTATTATTCCTTCCGTGAAATTGAATACTTTAATTTTGTGGCAGTCTAGTAAAAGACACCTCACCTTATGACTACTCGGCAGCCAGGTTTTTACGATATTATTATTATAACTTTGAATTTTATACACATAAATGTAGTTTTAAATGTACATGTGGTAAATACACAATTTTGCACTTGCTGAAAGAAGGGTTTGTACTGCATTCCTGTGAACGTCTGTAGATTAAAAAGAGAACTAGATAATAAGTTGTTGGACATAGGAGAACCTTTAAGACAAGTTTTAGAGAAACGTGTGTAAGCATTTCTATTTAACTTTACTGGGATATAAACAAACCAATGATAGGTTCATTTACAAAGTACTTTCAAACCACTAAAGGCTGCAAAACACATTTTCTTCAAACAAAAATGGTATAAAATTATAATAGTCCCTGAATGAACCATTTAGTTTTCCGGTAGTAAAGCAGCAAGATATTTTAAGAAATTCACGTGAATTAATGGCAAAAAATAGATGTTTTTTGGAAAAATATACCAATTAGAAATGATGATTAGAAGATAAGGTTAATTTTATTTTGAATTTTCCATGTTTTTGTTACAATGTATTTGATTCTATAATAAAAGATAGATAAGATAGGTAAATCAAAAACTTGTCAAATACATGAACTATTAAAAATTTGACACGTGCCTACTAGATTAGAATTTAAAAATATTGAGTCCTTATAAAAGATCTAAGTACATGCAGACTTTTGTTTAGAACCGTTCATTTTAGCTCTTTAAAAGGGTTTTATTTTTTTTTAACTAAAAATGAACAGAGAATTAAAAAACAAAAAATTAAAAATATTTGTTTGTGGTGTAAAAAATAGTAGAAAAAAGTTGCCACTAACCCTGATAGGGCGCCACTGGTTAAATTTTTTAAAAATTAGTTCTTGTCAAAATATTACTTTCGTAAAAAATATAATAGTGTCCTATAAAGGGACTTAGTTACCTAGATACAATGTGTTAAAATTTACCATAAATTAAAAACGCCTTTAAATATTTTTTCAAATTTGGAGACCAATACCCTCTTTAAGAAAGTAATATTTGGCTTGCTAACTTTTGAAAAATTTAACCAATGGCGCGCTAACTATTCTTTAAGCCAAAAAATAAAAACAAGTAGGTTACAGATATTTTTTACACCCAAAAAAATGTAAAGAGGTCCTGCAAAAAAAATTATAAAAACTGTAATTTTAGAAAGTAAATTTTTCTGAAAATGTGTGTAGTTTTTTGTAAGTCATAATGTTTAAACCACAACATAACCAATAATATAAATTAAAAATCTAGTAATACCTGTTCAGGAGCAACATGACAAAAGTTGGATATTTTCTCTTTAACACTCTGTCCAATTGGCTTCTCAGACCTACAAACAATTATATCCGGAGACAAGCCTAATCCTCTTAACTCTCTAACCGAAGTCTGAGTCGGTTTAGTTTTGTGTTCTCCTGTAGTCTTAGGCTGAGGTACGAGAGATACATGTGCCACGCAGAAATTTTCCCTTTTAACCCGAAATTGAAATTGTCGAAAGGCTTCAACAAACGCCATGCTCTCTATATCCCCTATTATCCCTCCTAATTCTATGATACACACTTGTGGAGCCTTGCCAGAGTCTGAAACTGGCTTTTGGGCCACTTTTTCTACCCATTCTTGAATTGCATCAGTGATGTGAGGCACCACTAAAAAAAAATATATATATAATAGATATTTATATGTATGCAAATATTTTAACATACAAAGTGGAACATCCAAATGGGATACATTCGGTAATAAACAAATGGGATCGTGTTCGGAAAAACGCTCGGACACGTCGATTGGTATTTTTATTTCAGGTACCTAACATTCATTATTGATAAACTTAATTAAAAATCATACCATCCTTATTCTTATATTATGAAATAAATGGTGTAGAACTTTGTATACATGTAAACAGTAATAAAACTCACAATTCAGATATTGCAGTTTGATTCTAGACAAAATTTTGCAAATGTCAATAATGTGAATTTGTAGATATCCATTTATCGTAAGAAACAAAATTTTACGACTTTATAAAAAAAACCTTAAATAAATATAGAGTATGAATACACATTACTAGAGACAAATTTTGCTACTTAAAAAAAAAGTCTTATCCACTTTTTCAAGGGCTAAAAATCCGACGACGTAGCGAAATTTCGCTACTCCTGGCAACACTGAACAATATCCTACTTATAGGCAGCTTCTACAAATTTCCTTCATGCTTGAATCGCGAATACTGTTTATTTCTTGATAATGTAACAAAAAAACATCTCAATGTAGGAGATGTTCAAAATGCTTGCCGCGAACCTCTTGGCAACATCCTAATCTAAAATAAAAATGTCTTCTAACGTTACTCAACATCTCAGGCGTGACCGATCTAATCGCAAGCGTTATTCGTCTTCTTAAGTCAGCTAGGTCGAGAGGTTTAGTTTTGTACCAATACTTTTATCCCCACAAGAAAAAGTCTAATGTCAGATCAGGAGATCGTGCTGGCCATCCCATCGATCCTCGCCTTCCTATCCACCGATTTGGATATACTTGATTGAGGTCTGGCACATTGATTTAGTAATTGGGCGGTGCTCCATCTTGCTGAAACCTTATCATATTCGCTGGAACTTGCGAGTTTGCTGGATCGAGATATAAGTTCGTTAAAGTTGGCACGACATTATTTTGGAGCAGTGCTAAATAATGATCGCCATTCAAATTGCCATCAAAGAAAAAGGGACCTATGATATGATGGCTAACAATTCCTGCCCAAACATTAACCTTTTCAGGGTATCGCATTATGTTCTTCTCTCATCCAGTGAGGATTTTCCGTAGACCAATAGCGGCAATTTTGACGATTAGAATGTAAAGGTACACTCAGCAGAAAACAAAATATGTTCTAATTGGATCACCATATTATCTAACATTGCCCTACGGGTTTTTGAATTGCATCAACCACTTAAGGGCTGCATGATCAGTACGGATTAAGAATTTTCTTCCATATAGGTATTGGTAGAAGTGTTCCAGGCATTTCACAACTGCCAGGAGTTCTCTTCTCGTGAGAAGGTAGAAAATAGTTTACTTTCGGCCAATGTGTCCAAGGTATAGTCGATTCTAGATAGAGGATAACTATCTTTCTTGGTAACATTGTTCAACTGACGGTAAGCCACACAGATCCTCGTAATTCCATCATTTTTCTGGTCCAGAACTACCGGAGAGACCCATGGACTGGTAAAATGTTCTATCACCCTGTCTTCCTCCATTTCCCGAACAATCCTTTAGTTATCTGCGAGTTGATTGACGAATCGGCCTGGCATCATCAGTGTTAATTTTGTGTTTTACCACAGAAGTTATTCCTGTTTTTACTAATTTCGGTACAAAAATGTCACAATATCGTCGAAGAATATCCTTTGTTTTCTTTTTTTCTAATTGATTCAGAGATTTGCCAGCAACTGCAATCATTTGCTCGAATTTGTTGTCTGACGAATTATGGAAGCTACTGATACACAAGTTCCGATTCTGGTCCCTTTCTTGATGGTAATTGGGTGATCATTAACGTTTATAAGACGAACTGGAATCTGTTTAGCAGTCGTGACAGATCAGAATTCCCGTCCAACCTCTTCATCGTGGTTTCAAACTTCCATCATTAAAGAAGTTCTTTCTTCCCAGGTACCACCGTATTCTCCTGTACAGCGACTGGCACGGTACTGTTCCTATATGGATGTAGGAATACCTCTTCGGCACCAACTTTGATCACTGTTCTTAAAATCCAACTGGAAACCATGTAAGTTCATTACATCCATTCCAAGTATAACATTTTCTTCGATATCAGCGACAATGAAAGTGTGAGTGACGTTTTCTGTACCAATTCCTAATTGAACCTGGATTTTGGATGTTGGAACTTTCACTTGTGGCAGTCGCAATCTTGTTGGTAGAAGTATCTTGCGGTTATTTATGGTTGTTGGTCGTATAATGGTCCTAGTTGCTCCAGTATCCACATATAGTATATACTTTTACCATTTACTTTGCCGTCTATGTATACACTATTATCGTGACATTTCAAAGAGACTATCAGTACGAGAGGGTCTTTGGAACGGTTTCGGGTCGAAGCTGTCCCCTCTAGGCCAACCCGCTCTAGTTTTCTTGCGGCGCACAGTGGGCTAACTCGCAGCAAAACCTGGCCATGAAGGTAAAAAAAAGTTGCGATTTTAAACTTTAGTTTCATGAAATTTCGCGTAGAAGACATCAGTGAATACTAGTCCAACACTTTGGTGGCATTCCATTCCCTAATCTCGATTATACGTGTCGTGATAGTCGAGTAAACACGCGACGTCGATAACAGCGGTATTTTAACTGACATTTAGTGCATTGTTATACATCATTGAAAGTAATCAGATCGAGTTTTTTTGTTTACATACGATGGATAGCACCCCAAAAGGTAAGTTATCACATTTATAACCATTTTAAAAAATTATTTTGACTTTAAATGGAAGTATATTTTAACCTGTATCCCGTGACACCCAAATTCTCACAAATCATTGGCTACAAAATTTTCTCCACGGTTCTCCACTTTGTTAAATGCCTCTCCTACATCCTTAATGATGTAGCTGACGAGTTCAAAAGAATTCGCTTGCGCATATTTGCGCCATTTCAGTAAACGATAGTTTTTTTGCCGCGTGGAAGAGCCCGGCAAGCGTGGCAGGGATAGCTGTATTGTTGTACTTCCCCGCGCACTTAGAAAACTCGCAGTTCATACCAGCTAATAAATAATGAATAAGAAATTATTAATTATAATCATGGATTGAAAAATTTATTTAAATTTTTTCGAAAAAAATTTTAATTATCGATTTTGTTTTATTTCAATCAAAAATATTTATTTTGTATCTGAATTAAAGTGATCATGATTCGAATATTATTTATTTACAATTAGTATTTATTTCGATGTACAAAACTAATTATAAAAAATTAAGTAATTTAATTACTTATTTATTTAAATCATACCAACGCTGATATTCAATATAATAATTAAATCATTAATTAATTTAAATTCATTGTTGAGCAATTAATTTTAATAATTCTGTGATGAACTTTGGACTGATTTCTTTATCAGCATATACTTCCACTTCGAAGGCCTTTTTTTCCAACATTTAATGCATATTTATTAACCTTAAAGTACCTTAAATTACCCTAAATACAAAGTTTTAGACGAATTCGCGCAATGTATATTTTTTATCCGCCATATTAGATCTGCTATTTTGAATTTTACAATTACGATGACTAATTCGTAATCAGTGTCCTCAAAAATACCATATATCCAAATTTTTATTTAAATCTACTAAATTTTACTTTTTTTGATCCGCCATCTTGGATCCACCATTTTGAGTTTTTAAATTATAATGTCTAATTCGTAACCAATGACGTCAAAATGTCATATATCCAAAGTTACATACAAATCCGTTAAATTTATCATTTTTGAACCACCATATTGGATCCGCCATTTTAAATTTTCGTAATCAGTGACCCAAAAAACCTATAGGGACACAGTTTTGTAGATTTTTGTATTCATTTTGTCTATGTCCAGGTTTTGAAGCGAGTTAGCCCACTGTGCGGCGTGTTGTCTTCATTTGTTGGAACCCTAGGGCGTTTGCACGAACTGCGTACATGTCCCAGTTCACCGCAATTCCAGCACCTGATAGTCTTTGTCTTCAAATTTTTGTCAACAAAGGTTTTCATTATGTTAACTAGATGGTCGAGTTTATTATCCACATTTTTTTCTTTTACAGTCCTCACTTAATGTATCCTCCAGAAGCCTGCGTAGCTGCCTCATACTCTAGAGCAGCGGACAAGACATCGACCAATGTTTTGTGACGGGCTAGACGAAGTGTTTTCTGCATCTCGTGGTCACGGAGTCCATCAACAAATGTTTGGACTGCCAACCATTCCATCATGTTTTCCGGAGCTGATGGGTAGACAAATCGCACCAACCGGCAATATCTACTTCATATTCTTGAAGAGTCTCGTCTCGTTTCTGTTTACGATTCTTTAACTGTGATTGGTATGGATGCTCCAAATGTTCATGGCCATATCGCATGTTAAGTTTCTTTTTAAGTTGCTCAAAATCATCGGTCTCTTCCACAGGTATAGTCTGAAGGACATCTAAAGCATCTCCTCGAAGGGCGATGGTTAAATTTACTGCCTTTTCTCCTTCAGACCATTCGTTCGCTCTCGCAGCTGTCTCGAACTGTTTAAGGTAGTTGGTCCATGACATCTTCCCGTCGAAAGTTGGGGCTTTAACACGAGCTAAGTTTAGAATATATTAGATTAAATTAATAAGGAGTTGGACTTTGTTTGTCCTTGTTCACCGCGACGTTTTCAGATCTACTGTGGGACTCCGTTTGTTTTAGAGTATGTCGTCTAGCTTGGTCTTTTTTATTAGACTTAGTAGCTATGACAGTGGGTCCCCCATGTAGTTGCATGCGTTTGGCTTTTCTTTGTCCAATATTAGAAACCTCATTCTAGCCAGGCCTGTAATGTCTTTGGATGTTTCCTATTCTTCACAGAACCTGCACAAAGTTGCTTCTTCTGCTGGATTGATGACACTCATGTGCCTTCTAAGGGCGACAGTGTCCAGTAAGAAGACCTAACGATTTGACGCTTTTGATCCAGTAGGTCTTTCGTG